ATACCAGCGCAGTCTACGAAAAGTCAAGAACCGAACATCTACCGACCTCCAGCAGAATGTATACCAGAATCGGACCCAGTTCATCAAGATCAGTAAAGAAGCGGAAAAGCTCAAAGGAGAAATGCGCACCCTACGCACCCTAATGGCGGAGCTGACTACCACGCTCGGCCAAACTACAGTCGGCACCACCCCTAATCCCATGTCTCCCATGCCCGATGAACGGCTGTCCAAGCGCCATGCCAACCGCAGCTCGGTCGCAAATCTTGAGAGTATGTGGAACGTGCAGCTGCAGACGTTGTGGAAGACCGTCGAAGGATCGCAAAAGTTCTTACCGGTGGTGCCGGGCCGGCACATTGTGATGGAGAGTGGGCACTGGGTCGAGCTGGATTCGGCAACGTGGAAGCCGCGGCGCCCGGTGCACATCGTGCTGCTGAACGATCACCTGCTGGTGGCGGCCAAGAAACGCAAGCGCGTGGATCAGAGTAGCCATCGTGGTCCCGTGCCTACGAAGCTGGTGGCAGAGGAATGTTGGCCCCTTCAGGATTTGGATATGATCGATCTCGGAGCTAATCTCGGCGCGGGGGTTGCGCGCGAGGATGCTGAAGACCGGGGCATCACCAACGCCATTAACGTGCGTGTCGGAGGCAAACCTTTCACCTACCGGCATGACAAGCGGGACAGCTCAGCCAAGAGCGACCTACTGGCCACCTTTCGAAAGACGGTCGAGGACCTTCGACGCAACCTCCGGTCGGAAACCGAGGCCGCCAGCAAAGCCGCCCCTGAGGTGATAGGCTATCGCCACGCCTCGTACTCTCCTCAGCCGGATCGGCCGGTCAGTATGGACGGTGGACGAGACAAGCCTGAGTTGCGCATCGACGTAGACGGCAAGCAACAGAACCTGCGGTGGGTGGAGGGCCAGATTGACGAGCTAGACATTGATATTGCTCTGCAGCGGTTCGAGGATGCTGTGGGCCACATCGAGCGGTTGCGCAAACTTGCTCGAGGATTAAAGGGAAATGCGGTCGCGCAGGACGTGATCACAACCAAGGTGGATGAGCGTGCGGCCGCCCTGGCTGAAGTATTGCTGCGTGCTCTGGTGGACACTCCCTCCTTCCCCCAAGCGACTAAGACTAAGTCCACGTGGTTGATGCGCTTGGGCTTCGAGGATCAAGCTCGGGAGGCCTATCTCAAGGCGCGAACCGATGTCATATCCAAGCGGATCAGGTGGGTTCTTGTCTGCTTCCATCGTATTGAGCTGAACTGACGTGCCACAGAGCCTGTGTCTTTGAGGGCGATCTCCCGATGTATATCTTCCAAATCTCCTACGTATACTTCACCTTGATCAAAAACACTATCAGCATCTATCAGCAATGTTTCCCGCCGGCCATGTCCAGTGCCAGCATCCGATGGGCCAAGCATCACCTTGACGGCTTCAATGCGCTCCTCACGCGGCAGCTGAGCAGTGTGCAGCGGGGCACCACCGTATACCAGAAATGTCTTGATATCGTGCACGAACATGCCAACCTGCTGACCGAGGTTGGAGTCGACTTCACCGACCTGGTCGCCAAGGGGCTGGAGGTGGAGGATTCGGCCGAACGACCGCAGATGACGCGCTCGGAGTCGCTGATCTCAGGCTTGGCTGAAGCTGCGGCGGCCGCGTCGCCGGTAATTTGAGAATGGGGATGAGTTTGATCTGTAGCGTTCTGTTACTCTGCGAACGCCTGTCTATATTTCTATTTTCACTACCCAGCCTCAGGAGGCTCCGTTATGTACGATTCAGCTTTGTGGAAGCTAGTTGCTCTGAAATGTAACTTTACATGCATGCAATCATATGCCAGCCTGATCTGCGTCATCCACTTAATGGATATCAGACAGCATGCGCTCTACATCTTACTGATTCACCACGTGGAGTACCGGATTTGTCTTCACCCGGGCCGACTTCGGCCAGGGGGATAAGCCCGAGAAGTGGACGGACGATCTTGCTCTTATCTGAGTGGATACTGCGTCCTCAGGCACCGATCTGCCGTCACTGCCGTCACTGCCAGGGCATATATACCCAGTCTTGTACTGTCCAACTGAAGGTCACAGGACAGAATTTTGCTCTAGAATGTCTATCTACGAATTTGAAGAGCAACCAATCAGCCACGCTTGTAAATTTCGACAAATTTGACGAGATGCCTGTCTCTTTACGAGAAGCAGTCCAGTACGTAAGAGGAAAACACGCCCGGCTGCCGCCCCAAGCCGAGGAGGCCATCGGCGTCCAGAAGTAGAGCCGAGGAAGGGATGCACCCACCGAAGCGGCATGCAGTTGGTCGATCGATAACGAGTAACGAGCAATGGAGGGACAAGCGGGGAAAGACTGGCTGCATCGCTGATTCATGTAAGTTTTTTTTTTCTTTTTCTAGTCTCCTTCTTTCTCTTCCATACACACACGCGCGCTTGTTTTGATCCTAGACACCCCCTCTTCTTCTGTTCTTACTCCCCTTTGTTTCGTTGCCAAGATGGGTGTCACCGCAGAAGCACAGGACCAGACATCCTCATCGCCGTCGAGGTAAGATACAAACACATTACCCCCTGCCGACAAGACACCCATTCGACTCACCGTTTTCTTGAATCAAAGCTCCGCAAGACTGGCAGCGCTGCCCGAGCTGCCCCTCTTCTGCGCGGCCAAGGAGCATGCGCAGACTCGCCCCGACCACATCGCCGTCGACGATGCCACCAAGGGCCAACAGTTCACTTACCGCCAGCTGCTGGCCGATACGGCCGCGTTGAAGCAGCGTCTGCTGGAGACCCTCGCGCTCACGGAGACCGGGGACCTGGAGGAGCGTCGGATCGCGTTCCTGGTGCCCAATGGCTATGATTACGTCGTTACGCAATGGGCCGTCTGGGCGGCAGGGGGCGTGTGCGTGCCCCTTTGTAGGTTCTCGCTTCCTTTTTGTTCTTGTTACTACTCCAAGTTATACTTCCCTGCTCCGGGTATATGACTAGACTGGTGGTTTGGGACTGCTAACCATGGCGCTCAATCCGTAAAGGTACCTCCCACCCAGTGAAAGAGCTCCTGTACACGATTGGGGACTCAGACCCCTCGTTGATCATCCTGCATCCCACCTTTGCCGGAACCCAAGACGCTTTGCTGCAGGGCATCAACAGCAGCAGCAATGATACCGAGATCCCATTCATGCACCTCACCCCATTCCAACAAGTAACGGAAACCGAACTCGCGGCGCTCGCCATGCCCGCCTTCTTCTCTCTACAGTCCGACCAATGGGCCCTCACGCGCCGGGCCCTGATGATCTACACCTCCGGCACAACCGCCAACCCGAAGGGCTGCGTGACTACGCACAAGAACATCACCTTCCAGGCGCGCAGCTTGGTCGAGGCGTGGCAATATTCCCCGGCGGACCGGCTCATCCACGTGCTCCCGCTGCACCACGTGCACGGGATCATCAACGGGCTGGCGGCGTCGCTGCTGGCGGGCGTGACCGTGGAGATGCACCCCAAGTTCGACCCGGCGACGATCTGGCGCCGGTGGGCCGAGGGCGGCTCGACGATGTTCTTCGCGGTGCCGACCATCTACTCGCGGCTGGTGGACGACTTCGAGGCCCGCCTCCGGGGCACCCCGCAGGAGGCGGCGGCGCGCGCGGGCGCCCAGGCCCTGCGGCTGGTGGTCAGCGGCTCCGCGGCGCTGCCGACGCCGATCAAGAAGAAGTTTGCGGCGTGCACCGGCGGCCAGGTGCTGCTCGAGCGCTACGGCATGACGGAGATTGGCATGGGCATCAGCTGCGGCTTGCCGGTCGAGCAGCGCATCGACGGCAGCGTGGGATGGCCCCTGCCTGGGGTGCGGGCGCGGCTGACGGAGAAGGAGACCGGGCGGATCATTGAGGGGGTGGAAGAGGATGGGATGATCGAGATCAGCGGGGACAATGTGTTCCGCGAGTACTGGCGGCGTCCTGAGGCGACCGCCAAGGAGTTCACGGAGGACGGCTGGTTCAAGACGGGCGACGTGGCCCGGCGCGACGCGCAGGGCGCGTACTATATCCAGGGCCGGGCGTCGGTGGATCTGATCAAGTCCGGCGGGTACAAGATCTCGGCGCTGGAGGTGGAGCGGAAGATGTTGGGGCTGGACACGATCCAAGAGGTGGCTGTTGTTGGGCTGGCCGACGAGGAATGGGGGCAGCGGGTGGCGGCGGTGGTCAAGCAACGAGCCGGGGTGAGTTTTGCTATTAGCATCGATTCGACTCAGACTGACATTATTATACAGACCGAGCCGCTGGAGCTGAGCAGTCTGCGCGCGCAGCTCAAGCAGGAGATGGCGGCGTACAAGGTGCCGACGGTGCTGAAGCTGGTGGATGCGATCGAGCGCAACGCCATGGGCAAGGTGAACAAGAAGACGATAGTCAAGAAGTATTGGCCTAAACTGGCTGCATGATAATTATATCGTTAGAGTGTGAAGTATAGAGCGAAGAAAGCACATGCTGTTGACTGAATACAGTGCCAAAGATATCTTAATCATGGATGATAATTCTTTCTCTGATTTCCTTCGGCAAGAGTCTATCTATCTGATAGCAGCGAGTACGATCTGCAATCAAGGATGACCATGATACCAGCCACATGATGCAGCCCGATAAGAATCCCACAAGCAGTACGGAGTAAAACTGTCCGACTTGCCCATACCATATTATGCACACATCATTCGATGGCTATCTCTGGCAGAATACTTAAGCTGGGTCAGCCAATATCCCAAAAACGTCTTTACTTGATTGCGCATCCTTCAAGCTTGAGATCTACTGCCCTCTATCCACTAGTACAATGAGAATGCGTATAGAGAAACAAGCACCACTCGTATCAAACTCTTCACTATTCAAATTCCAGATCTTCGATCATTTTCATAAATTATATTCCTACTCCTGAGAAACGTACTATGCATGCTTGCCCATGAGATCTCAAAAGCCCAGCTCAATCATAAGTGTCCTGTCATGGTGAAGTGCGAAGAGAGCTAATTAATCCACCCCCATCGCCCGCTCCAAAAGCCTTCCCAAAGCCTCCCCATCCTGCCCGTCCTCCACATCCTCCAACAAACCCAACTTCACCCACCCCTGCACTTCCTCCTCCGACCCACCCTGCCCCTCAACCCACTCCTCCCACGCCCCCTCCGCAAAAAGCTCATACGGCTTTTCCGCTGCCCAGGGAATCGCCAACAGCGCGAAGAACCTCAATTCCAGTTCCAGATGGGCGAGCATTGCCCCGGCCTCCGCAGCGTCATCATCAGCGCCATCGGCAGGTCGCCATTTACAGATGGGACATTCATCCGGCACGCCGGTATGCGGAACTTCCCCCGAACCCACTTTCCGGGTCTGCGCTGCAGCAGCAGCAGCAGCAGCAGCAGCAGCACCACCACCACCAGTCCTCATTGGTGTGGAGGGTTCTCCCCCAAAAAAGGAATCATACTCCTGACCGATATTCCGCCCCGTTTCGAGGTGTTCTACCCAGCCTTGCACCGTGACAAACCCCTCGGCCTCGTGGGATTCGCAGCCCGAGGCTAGACAAGTGAGGTGGCGGAGGTCGGAGGTGAGGTGGCTGCGCCAGGAGGATCTGTCTTCGAGTAAGGAGGTGGGGAGGGGGGTGAGGCAGTAGGGGCATTGGAAGGTTTCTGTTTCAGGGTCTTGGGGAGACGTGGTGATGGTGGTAGAGGGCGGCGGCTCCGTCCAGGACCCGTGAATCACCGCGTCCGCGTTCGGCGGCGCGGGGAAGTTGACGCCTCGTTCCTTGAAGGCGTGGAACTGGTCGAGGGTGTACACGTCTGAGGAGTGCTGTTGCAGCGCGAGGAGGTAGTGTCTTCGTTTGAGATTGAGGCGGATGAGGCGGCGGTGAAGGGGGGTGAGTTTGAAGTCGTCGCCGGGAGGGCTATGCTGCCGCCGACTCGCAAACCACGCCTCCAACTGCCCCTCCAACTGCCCGTACGCCTCGGCGTCGAACCGCTTGTCCGCGATCTGCTGCCACAGCGGCAGGTGGACTTTGTCGTCCTCGAGCTCGTCGGTGATGACCGCCCCGAGGTCGTGCAGCCACCACCGCGCGGTGTCGAACGTCCGCCGGATCTGGTCGCGGAGGTGCCAGCGCCGTGTCTCGGCATTCTGCGAGGTCTGAATGGTGTTGAGGATGTCGGCGGTGGGTAAGGGGTGGGATGGGGTGGTGAGGTGCTGGGTGGCGGCGGAGGCGCCGGGGGCATCCAGTGCGGCCAGCTTTTCACCCAGGTCAAGGAGCTGGAGGGCGGCCAGGCGCAGGTGCTCGATGTGCAGGGTGTAGGCTGATGAATCCTCGAAAGCGTTGCGAGCCAGTTCTTCGAGGTGCAGGTAGCCCCGGCGGTCGTACACCAGCTCCCGGAAGGTCCGGTAGAGGTCCTGCGCGGTGGTGGAATAGTCTGTCAGGCCGCTGTGTTGGGTTAGCTGGTGGAGGTAATGGCACAGCCAGGCGGAGATGAGGAGCGTACTCATGCTGTTGAATTGTGAGCTCAACTTTTAGGCCTGGTGGGGTTAGGTTGCAGTTGCAGTCTGTCGAGTCTTATACCGGGGATGACGCACGTTGTAGTCTGTTGAGTTCGGGTCTATACAGACAGGTGATGCAGTCAAGAAATGATACTATGACACAGAAAGACAGGAACTCGATATTTATACCAGAAACCCAATACATCTACTCTTGAGGCTGTACATATCCAGCAAAGAACAACTCCCATCCAGATCTCAAACAAAGACACCCACGCCCATTCACGCCCCCTTCGAAAAGCCTTGTTCTATACAACCCCAACAAAGGGATAACGATAATATCCTCCAGACAACAAACTGAACGCACAACCAGCAGATCGGAGAAGTCCTTACCTGTAGCATGGCAAGGCAAGTCAGCTGATCAATGCAGCAGCAGCAGCAGCAGCAGCAGGAGGAGGAGGAGGAGGAGGAGGAGGAGGAGGAGCAGCAGCAGGAGGAGGAGGAGGAGGAGGAGGAGGAGGAGGAGGAGCAGCAGCAGTATACCCACCTCCCCACCTCCCCCACCAGCAACACCACACAACCACAAAACCAACCACAAAAGCCAACGTGCGACGAGCAAGGCAAGATACTTGAAGGAAATACTGTTGACCCTGAAAGTACCTAGTAAAGGAAATCAGGGTACAGATCGGCGCCTCCCGTGCCGCCACATGCCGTTATCTATCCCGTTGATTGGGTGATTACCCCAAGGGCCCGGGATCTCCGTCGGAAGTCCCTGAAGAATATAGCCAGCAAAACCCTAATCGGCCGGTGGTTGGCTTTGCGGTGTTGCATCCCCCCTGAAGATAATATCGAATGCGATGCACTGCAATGCAGCTCCAATGGCACCGATGTCACCTCAGTCGGAGCTTCATGCATGAGACTGGATTAAATGTCGGTGATCGGAGGGTTCCGACCGCCTTTACTGCCCTCACTGTCTGGATAGATAGATAGATAGACTGGGTGAGAAGAGATAAATACCTAGGGCTGGTATGCAGGAGATTACTCTCCCATCCCCAGCCCACTTCCAACTCCATAGCCCTCCCTTCTCAACCCAGACAAAAACCAACCCACCAAAATGTCCGCTATCAAGGTACGCTTCACCTCCCCCAACCCCCCTCCCTCTCCAATGAATCAGACTAACTTCCTAAAGACAATCCTCCTCCCCCTCCTCCTCACCACCTCTGTGGTCCTGGCCGCCCCCAAAGCCGCCGAATCCTGCGCCTACACCTGCGGCAGCACCTGCTACTGGGCGAGTGACGTCAGCGCGGCCCAGGCGCAAGGCTGGTCGCTGCACGAGTCCGGCGACACGATCGACGACTACCCGCACGTCTACCGCGACGACGAGGGCTTCGCGTTCGGCGTGTCCGGCACCTACTACGAGTACCCGATCCTGAGCAGCTTCGACGTGTACACGGGGGGATCGCCGGGGGCGGACCGGGTGATTTTTAATGCGGACGATGAGTTGGCCGGCGTGATTACCCACACGGGGGCGAGTGACTATGATGGGTTTGTGGAGTGTTCTTAGTTCTTTCTTATCCATTCTTTGGGATTAGAGGGGGTGAGGGGGTTTGAGGGCTGGGTGTAGGCGAAGGGACTGTTTTCATGTGCTACTGTTTCTGTGGATAATAGTAGCTTAATGAGGAAAAGACGGGTTTGATGTCTTGGAAATTGATCAAGATAGGAGTCGAGATTACTGGCTCTATGTTTATACAAACATATGGACTTGATTTTCTAGGAGGGTCGGGCCTTCTCCGTTTTAGTGCTCACCCCTCGCCGCTTTTTGCTCACTGAGTAGATCTCGGCACGCCCCGTGAGAGAAAAGAGACAATGCCTTGAAATTATTTCCTCTTGCAAAGTGCTCCCCACCGGGCATTCTGGGTCAGTCGCTCTCAAGCGAAGGGTGCTCGATTACTTCAACTTCCTCCATCAGTCGGCCCGTCAAAAGAGGAAAAGATAGCGCGCAATCCCCACTGGGGTTAGAAGCAGTGGCCGGACAGCGCGCAGTAGATGGGAAGGTACGCATCACTTGCTACCTCTACGGAAACGACCAATGGACGCTCGGAGCTGAGATGAAGATGCATACAGTCAGCATATTGTTAAGCTTCGCGGCATCGACAGCCGATGGTGCTATTGCCCTCCTGCTCATCCCACGGAAGAAAGGGCAGCGAGAGCAGACAATCCAGTGGTTCCGACGACGAGAAGCAGTCCATATCACGCTCAGATGGATGTCACCTCGCTGGGCACGAATCTTCTGCAGAGTTCTGTAAAGCGAGGACCTGCGAATTCCCACTTCGGGTTGGCTTTGCCGTTTTCGGAATAGCCGTGCGCTGTGTTATTCACCATTGCCCGCCGGCGACGGCTCTGAGTATATAAGAACAGGAACAGTACTCAGAACACCTGTCCATCCCTAATCACGCGATTAGCTCAAAAAGATAAATGCAAGAGTGATACTCCTTTCAATTTTCCTAGATGCGAACAACACTACAACAACAATTATGCCTCGATAACATCATGCCACGACGCTTTAGTATCCCTAGAGGTGGAACGCGTGAGGAAGGTTGATCAACCTTTCTTTGACGCCAATTACACGGTTGATCATGAGGAGAATGTTCGATCGGTGAAAGGGGTTCAGCCGGCGGATGCCAGCGATGACTTCCGCTTTCTCGCAGCGCATGATCATACGTTGGAGGGTGCTGTGGAGATCTTCCCGGCGAGGGCGAATGAGTGGAAGGTTAAGGGCTGGAAAGAGAAGGCTTCCTGGAATTATCTCGCGGGTTTCCCCTTGAACGGTAGATAGCACTTACGGCGCCAGGGGGTGGATTAGGTTGCAAAGAACCATGGGTGGGACCATGGCTCTGGGTTGGTATTCTTGTAGGAACATACTAGGACAAAAGACTAGGTATAAGACCAATGTAAATCTTGACTTGCAAGATCTTGCAATTCTCGTGCTCGTGAGACTCACGACAGACGCACGATGCACGGAGATCATGACACCTTATCAGAAAAGGTGCCTGGGGGATAGCTTAATAAATGCTCGTCTAGCCCCTCCTTATCCCGGATAGAAGCCATGCTATGAGATGAGTTGATGGTAAAAATCAGAAAGCACCCTTCTTCTGTGTCCTCTCGGATTTATCTGAATTACTTGCAAGGATGAGATCAACCTCATCGTCCATGGCCTCTAGAATATGCTCCGGCTGAAACGAAGGCCTCCAACCAATCTCATAGCCATACTTTGCTGCAAATGTGCATCTAGACCATGTAAGTAGATGCGTTCATTACGGCTTGGTGGTAAAGGGATACTCACTCCCCACTCAGCTGAGGCGCCACCATTTCCTTTGGCGAGTTGAGCGCCTCAGCCATCCTAGCAAGGAAGTCATCATCCGCTGGATACACCCCGCTAGCTTCTATGAGGCCTCGTTTTGAGAGTGCAGTACTAATGGATGCATAGACATCTTTCCAGGCAACTCGGCCGCTGGACGCGAGATAGAATCCATTTCGGCCGTGGCCGCAATCCCCGGACGAAAGGATGGTTCTGAGGATGGCAATGTACAACAACGCATTATCGACCACATGGCACACTGGCCAGGCCTAGATAGCAAGGGATAAAAATCAGAGTCAATATCTTTTGAAATTTCTGTAGTGACCTACCGCTTCGTCGGATTTGTTGAGGTCGCGTACTCGTCCTGTTGCTTTTGCGGTGCTGACAATGGCAACGGTTTGAATTGAGACCTGGTTGCCGAATCCTTCACCCTTTCCATCTGTTCTGTGATTAGGCGTGATATCTTCGATAAAGTTGAAAGACAAAAGGAGCAATAATACATACAGACCATGCAGGGGCAGAAGATGTAGCTTTTCACCCCAAGAGACTCGCTCAATTCAATAATTCGGATGTTCGCATCCAAAAGCTAATTCAACTAGATACAGATTGGAGTAGATAACGAAACGATGGGATTTCATTACCTGCTGCATCGCCGGGAGCTCAGTGCGTTGAGACTTTTGTAGTTCAAATAGGCCAGACTCATTGTCAGCGATGGCCCTGTCGGTTGGGGCCCCGGCATGGTCGGAGAAAGCCTTCGCTCCACTGGTCTATAAATTGTTAGATGCATCCGTTGGTACCGGTGCCTGCGGCTTCCGCCAATATATATACACAAGGCGCTCAATGGGAATGGCCTAGAGTCCTCACCCAGATGGGGGATCTCGTCCTTGCTGCCCAGTGTGGAGGGTAACGAGTCACTGGGTTGGATTGGTATCCTCTCCACCAGGCTGTATCCAAACCGCTCGAAGAAAGTCTGATATGTGATAGGATGAGAATCTCATTACTTTATGATTAAATAAGCTGTTGTTAGCAAAATTGAAAGAAAAGTTATATTATAGGCAGAGCCCTAACCACAAATTATGAAGCTTTCATAAATAATTTAATAATTTAGATGATATTAAAGCTATATCTTAAGGCAAAGTTTCCTACCAAAGGCAGCGGGAGTCCCGTGAGTTAGACAGATTAGCAACAATACCTTAAGGCAATACACTACCACCCTTAGCTTCGCTAGAGGCATTCGTCTATCACATTATCCTACCCTATCAGTCCGTATAGCTCTGACCTATGGACATAAATAGTGCTATGGATACCTGAGGCATATATGGGTAAACGGGGCAAGGAGCCCGTCAAAAAATGAGTCATGTGGCTCAATTCTACCATGACATCAGACCCGTAATATAATTGCAAATGATTTCTGGCACTATGCCTATCTCCGCGATTTTCACGAAGATATTGTAGATAGTTGTGCAATGCATGGTTTTCGGCTCAGACTGATCCACTCACTCCAGTAGATAAAGATGTGTTATCACTCCTCAAGATCAGAAGTAAGTCCTATTGATTATCTCACATCACGTGTTGAGAGTACCTAGGCATTCGGATCTGGGGCAATGACGGCAGAAACTTCCATGTCGAAAACATAGTTTTTGGGGTCTACCTCTCGCGGCTTCACTTTGTTCATAGCTTCAATATCGAAGACTGAATCCTCTGGCAGATAGAACCTAATACAAAGCGAGTATTAGCTGAGTTTACTGTTCCTCGTACGAGAGCTATGATAAGCGATATAGATTTTGAGGCATGGGGGATACACACACTACCATGTCTCTGAAGGGTGGCCCCGACCCCAGAAACTTCCATTGCATTTTGTTACTACCCATTTGTTGATTGAGATCGGGCAGTCCAAATCTGCCGTAGAGGCGCTGCAGGCTATCACAACCATCAGTATCTACACGTTCATCTGTCAAAGTAAGGTAAATGTACGCGGGCTTCATTCTATGCCACTGCATGCAGTGCTCGAAGTAGAGTTGATTCTCATAGGTCCCGATGAATCTCTTGCTCGATAGTTAGCTTTGAAGTCGCTAGAAAGTAGATTCAAAAAGTTAAGAACTCACTAGTTCCAATCTGTTTTTTTGGGGACTCATATTGGGGGGGCTTTATAATCTAGTTCGGATTTAGATTTGGGTTTCTATGCCAAAAGTTTAGGGGTCGGCAGGGTACGTATGGAGTTTATATAAGTAAGAGTGGGGTAAGCGTCGGGCAACGCTAACACACACATCATGCAAGAGTATCTAAGGTCATTACATGTGTATTGCTAGATCCTGGGTTTTAAAGGGGCCTACAACATAACGTATTGCAGATCTTTTGAGGGAGGATCGGCAGTCGGTGGGTCGGATTTACAGATTTGGGATTCAGCCGCAAAGTCAAATTTCATGCGATGTGATACAGAAGACCATTGTGGGCCACTCGGCAAATAGAAGGTTTTTTAATAGTATTCTCACCGCAGCGGTAACCGCTTACCTACTAAGACACACTATGGGTCTTCTCTATTACCCCCCCGGCCTAAGCTCAGCAACTCTTCTTTGAAGTTTCTTCGGGAACTCTTACAGCCTTCCTTATCACGTAATAGCCTCTTGCTATGTAAGGACGTTAGAGTTCTTAGAGGCTGAGGGTATTATAATTAGGACTCTTTATTAGGAAATCTTTTGATTATTCTTTTTTTTAGGGTTGTAGGGGATAATATATGTATGTAATTCTTCTGCATGTGATTCTGCCGGCAGATTTCTTAATCTACCGGAAATGTCAACATGCACATAACATGCACTATGCAGGCGCTAGTAAAGCTAACCCGAATCGGGATCCACAAGAGGTTCGACGATCTCTGTGTGTCCCAGTACTAGTTCGACGTGACTCTCACGAATCTCTATTATCAGAGGCGCTGAAAAATCCTTTTAAAGAAGAGGATGAATATGACTAGCTAGCCAGGTTGATGTCATCACATCTCAACAAATAGAGTTCTATTAGTGTTAGGAAGCTGTGATATTTGCTTCGTTTTGTATGTGTTTTTTTGGGTGGAGAGTGATGGAGCTAATAGTTTCTGACTTTTCTGCTACGAGTGACTGAACTTGCGGTGACGACAGGTTATTCAGCTGAGTTCGGCTACCCCACTACGATCCTTTCATATTCCTCGTATTCTACTGGCAGGTGTGGGTCGCTCGCTGTATTGCAGCCGAGATTTATGGAGCAATCTCCACAAGACTATTGCGGAGTAAGTGAAAAGGAGCAAGACCTACAGACAAGATGACTAATTAGGAAAGTGAGAGTTATATCACCGCCCTATTGTAGATTCAAACTAGTAGTTGTAGATCGGCTTGATGTCTGGGAACATTTGAATTGTGGTCGATCCATCGAATGGATGGCACACCAATGTCATGTTTAAATATCCGTACCTCGCACCTGCTATTTCGAACCAAACAACCGCCCTCCTTCCATATCAGTTTTTCAAATCAAATCAAGATGAGGACTTCCATTATACTTCTTGCCGCCTCCGCAGGCGTTGCCTTGGCTCAGCCTGCTACCCTCAGCGAGCGCGCTGATTCTGTCTGTCAAACCGGCAACGGCAACCCTCTTGAGCCTACTCCTGCATGCTGCTTTACCATGCCATGGACTGCGGAACATTATCCCTACAGCGTCTGCATGGCTCGTAAGATAATACCAAAGTTCCCTTGGAAACTTTTGATAGGGTCTAACTGACCTGCAATGTGCACACAGCTTCGAGTTCGAAAAACACTGCCGAATTCGAGGAAAGCTGCCGCAAAATCAAAGCAACTGCCCAACCTCGGTGCTGCCCCAAAGCTCTCATCGCCGAAAATGAGAACCAGAACATTGGCGATGATCTTCTGTGCTCAGACCCAAACACTGTTGCGTAGAGCGTTTCATTCATATGGCTCTTAGTGCTTCGGGGCACACAAAAACCAATTAACGTGGAACTCCAGGCGGTGGAGCTGCGGAAGGACGGATAGCTAACCTTGGATGCCGGGGAGAGCCGTGAGCCCGCTTAGGGCAATAATATTTTTGGTCGACTGCTTGACAGCCTGTTGTACATGGTGATTCCATCGCATCTTTGTGTTGAAGATGAATTCCAGGAGTTTGGTGGTGTCTAGGCTTGATTACTTTGTTATTCATGGCTATTTTGCCCTTGCCACAGGCTGATTTGCAACATGTTATTAGATTAGATTAATTTATTAGCTGCAAATAACGCGCCTATTTGCTGTACTTACTGCTTAATCTAAAATTGTCCTTATTCTGGATTTTACTAATTTTTCTCTACAGAAGAACTGGCTTGCCAGCAAAAGTAGTTATTGATAATTACTAAAATGTTGGATCTGATGGCAACATCCTTCTTTATAATCCGCCGAGCAAAGGGGATCGATTCAATCGGTGTTACTTTGCCGTAGTTGCAGTCCTTTTCTTATCATTGTAAGGATCAATCCTCTCCTAATCCAACATATGGGGTCGCATTCAGAAACTTACCCTCTTCTCCTGCAGATTCGGTTGAATTATTCTCCACAGCAACCATAGAACCTCACTCATCACTACACCGTTTCCAAATGCTTTAAGTCTGCCGGGCCTCGCTGTACAGGCTGTTGTTTTCACATTAGTATCGGTGACGTTGGTATGGGCTCTTCCTTTTTCCTATAAGAAACTGGATGGCGAATTCAGTTGGCGTAGTTTCTCTGTTGAATACGGGGTGATTAGATAGATTATTGTCGACAACTTTGTCTTTGCACTAGGCCAGGCGGTGCTTCTTGCCCTGGGTCTACATCGCTCGTCTTCGAGCAAAGACGGTTCACTAGGAGGCGAGACCGAGCCCCTTCTGGGAAATATCGTACATTGACAAATGTCTTGCTGTCATGACAACTATTTGGGGTTTGTTCATTCTACCACTGTAAACTCCACGTGGTTACTAGCCGGTACGACAAGCGCAGGTCGGCCTCCGTTATCTTCTGGCTCGCGTACTTTGCCCTCAATAGTAACCACTGTTTCTTTATGATCTTGAAAATGACCCCAATCCCACCAGTCGAGTTGGGCCCCCTTGTAACAGTACCGGAAGGTGTCCCCGGGCACCACGTTGTCCGGAAAATCAGTCACACATCGCGTGAACGACCACGGCTCACCCGGATTGAGTGCATGGAAGTCATTGTCTTCATTGCGGCCCACATTCTTTAACACAGGGTTTGGAAATCTATACCGATGATATGTGAAGGAACCTCGTATTTCATAGGGCTGCCACTGGCCGTTTTCTTTCCGGTAGAGCCTAAATCCCTCTTGACGCCAATCGACATCTTTAAAGAGGAAGGTATGAAATACAATAGGTTTTTGAAGAGAGATATTCGGGGCCGCTTTGTAAAATAGGGTGGCCGTCACTGCATATCGAAGACGACTCGACGGATCGTAGTCTTTCAGCGACAGTGTAGCAGGTCCAGCTATGCTCAAGGTTAGGATTGGGGCACCACCACCACCCATTTGGCAGACAGACGCCAGAAGTGGTGGAGGCGAAGGTGGCAACGGGCCCACATCATCAATGTCGCTTTCTTCGTCCAGAATATATAGCGATTGTGTCTCCGAGCTGGGAAGAATCAACGGTGGGGATTTGGGGTCTAATTTGCAATTCCGGTACTCCGCCAATGTGCCCCAGTCCCACAGAGGGATTTGTCCGCCTACCCACAGGGTCTGGTAGTAATGCCCCGGTCGGAAGGAGTCAAAGTAAACAGCCGGCAAGAACACCTCCCAGGAAACGCTGGCGCCTGGAAGCAGTTCTTTGATGTATAGATCTGATATCGGTACCTCGCGTGGCGGAAGGGAGCTTTCTGCTAGTAACAACGACTGACTAGGGTTGATCGAGATAGGATGCCAGTTGAAATCAAAAAACCCTACAGGAATTCGCCGAAACAGCATGAAGCTGCCCTGGCCAAATCCATCCTTAATCGGGTCCCAGTGGAAAATGCATGGTCGCCGTTCGGGATCATCCGCTTCGCGAGTAATAGTAAAAGTAATATGAACCGAGGTGTCAACCTCTAAGTCAATATCCGGCTTTGCGTCAAATGTAAGAGAAAGGCGAGGACATCCCGATCTGTTTGGGTTAGATTTGGGTTGAACATGTTTTTCTCACTCGGCGGGCATAGTACCGTCTGTCTGTAGCAGAGTATCTTAGATACGAGGAAATAACAGCAGCCATTACTGCCGGAGCTGGCAGTTGTTTGTTGGCGTTTTGGTCTTTATTTCTGTTACGGTTGTGGGAGGAAGTGCTAGGGAGAAATAGGAGAAAAGGCTTTTCAGGGTCCACGGCAAGTCCGGTATGATTTCCTATATAGACCAGTTTCGTTTGTCCATGGAAGCTACCGTGACCAGTCTGTGCACTAATCCTTCGCTCTCTTTAACCGAGACTAATCTTAGAGAATTGTCGCAATCTCCTCGTGATCGAGAAAAGCTGTCAGGGAACAGCTACTAAAGCTGAAATCGCATTAGCCCACAAGAACTAACAAGACTGCCAAGACTAATTTAAATTGCGAAAGCAACTCGAATACAGCCTCTGTCACAACTAAATATGCTATCCTGGCAATAGTTTGCCGCAGTCGGCTTCATGCTATGCAGTAGACGGTAGTGGAAGCACCCTCTTTTGTCTAACTTGGATATTTACCACAACGAACGATAGAGACAATTTTGTGGCTTAACAATGAATAAAGTACTGACATGCCATTCATGAAGGAGCAACGACAAATTTCTGCTCACTGCGGGATTAAGATTGTGTGTCGAATTCCCGTTAGGAAAGGCTTAGTGATTATTTGGTCTTCTCCTGGTGCTTAGCACTTTTTTGTAAGTAGGGTTTACAGTGGACTGGTTTCATTTGGGGATTCCTTTGCTGCCGGAATGGGCACCGGCGTCGTGTAGGTCAGTCCAACTACGGCGACCTGATTTATCGACAACTCCAAAATACTTCTGTTTCCATCGAAAGAAAGGTCTGCTCGGGTGACACCACAACTAGTTGGGCCCGTCAAATTCAAGAAGGGAATAGTCAATCTTCTGCAAACCTGGCGACTCTGACTATGGGAGGAAACGATCATGGGTTTACTGACATTTGCTTGGAATTGCATCTTGACCCCAGCTACTTGGCACTTTGGATCAACTTATCGCTAATGGTGCATTGAGACCGAGGACAAAGCACGGCACGCGCTTTGATGAATGACCAAGAAGAGGCCGGGCTACGCTACAAGCTCTCAGAACTCTCTACAAGCAGATTCTGGAAAAGGGCGAAGAAGTTGATCTCTCTCTATTTGTCACTGGTTACCCCGAGTCCTTCAACAAAACCACCACCGATTGTGATCAGAGCACTTTTCATTATCTCTGGAGTGGCTATAAACCCCCAGTGATTGGTGGTACAACCGCCTAGTCCACCTTACAGCCCACCTTCGCGCTGAACTGAATATGCTGGTCTCTCAGCTCAACAATATAATTATAGCTGCCATTCAAATTGCTAATACTGAAGCTGGGTCCACGAGAGTCTACTACGTGGATGTGCAAAGCAGATTTGACTCGCACCGCTGGTGTGAACAAGGCATTCATGAGCCTGACTCGAGCGCTCCGAAAACTTACATCTTTTCAAGCGGCTGGAATGATCTCCTCTTGATGGTGGTGATACTGTGACTTCGTCAGATGCGAGTGATATCTCCTATCTTGAGCAAAATGGTATTGATCTGCCGGACCCGTCCAATTGCGAAACCGCGCTCGATTCAGATCCAGATCCATGGCAGAAATGGCTTTGCCTGGTTCCAATCGCTATCAACCAAGAGCCGGACAGTCGATAGCATGGTCATATGGAAACGCGACTCAGGCCATCCAAGATGGAAATTTCAACGCGCAGCATATTTCTGACTGGTATTCTACCTATAAAATCAAGGCTTTCTAACCACGAAGTCCGGGATGGGACTATACCGTGATGCAATCCTGGAGAAATCGATGCAACAAACCTAAATCTGCAGCTGGGAGGGAGGGGGGGGGGGTTTGCAGCATCCCCCTCCAGACCCCCTCCGGGTTGAGTCAGGCCATCCACCTGTCGGACTTTAGGAGTAAGAATAACTATACATAAATAATACAGTGTTCACATATTCTATATATTATGTGACCCGGCGACCTAGGCTTATGTACACCGACAGTTGGTACATACATCAAAAAATCCGACTACCGCCACTTATTATCCCAACCGCCCTGCTCCACGGCAAAGGCAATTGCCAACTCGCTGAAGCGAGCCATGTGCTAACCCCAGAAATTAGTGATTGATGTACGCTGCTAAGAAAGGGTGGACTTACGTCAATCGAGAAATACCCCGTCTCATCGTCCACGTCCATCGTATCGTTGACGCCATGGACATACGGATCAAAGTTCCCCGGCATCTTTCCGCCGGCCAAGGGGTTGCCCTCCGACGCAAAGGCCGACGGGTAGTTGAGCTGCGTGAAGGACATGTAGTCCGACCCGGCGCCGCTGTCCACATCACATCACAATTAGAATTGGAGGACTTAAATATTCCAAGGGAATACGTACGCGCCCAAATTGTACACCTCCGTCGGAATCGAGATATACTCGCGACTCAGATTGACCGTCCAGTTCGTCAGCGCCGCATCCGCCTCCGTCGCGATGAATCCGATCTCCTCGGTCGAGTTGTGCGCGATGAACGCCGTCATGTCCTGGGCCCAGGTCAGTAAGATCGAGATGATCACCAGAAGGAAGGGGACCGTACAAACTCCAACATCGCCCCGATCCGCGCCCCCTCCTCCTTCTTGTACCGCGCAATGGCCTGACTCCCCAACAGGCCCCCCTCCTCCGCCGCGTACCAGTGAAACTCCACGGGCCCATTTTTGGGCGTGTACCCGCTCGAGGCCAGCACGCGGAACGCCTCGAGGATGCTGACGGTACCCGAGCAGTCGTCGTCGGCGCCGGGCGCGCGGAGCAGCGGGAACAGGTAGTTGGCCGAGTCTTGGTGGGCGCCGATGATGGTTAGCGGCAGCGAGAAGTTGCGGACCTTGGGCTCGAAGCGCGCGATGATCGAGGACTGGGGGAAGCTGTGGGTGAAGTACTCCAGGGAGATGTGAGTGCGGAAGGGGGATTCGTCGATGATCTTCGAACAGATTAGTCGACCTCGTTCTTCAAGTCCCGATTGCCGAGTTCTGTGGCAGGATACGAACCTTGGCGATGTGTTGGTAGAGCCACTGCGAGCTCATCTCGCCATGAATGCCCCCGTAGTACCGGTTATAGTAGCTGGTCATGTGCCGGAGCACGTATTCCATGTGCGCTTGCTCGACCTGATCAAACAGGGGGCGGACATAGCGCTGGTGCATCAAGTCCGGCAGGTCTAATACCTCGCAAGTTAGAATCATGCCCCCGATTAGAAGAGATGTACTCACTCGCCGAGCCTGCAAGAGCCTGTACCTGCTCCGCGTAGAACTTCTCATTCTCAGTGATATCCATGAACTTCTTCCCCTTCTGCCGCAGCACCAGCTTGTCGCCCTCGGTCATCCACTGCGGCTGGGACTCCCCGCGGACGTGCAGCAGACGCGGCTGGGCAAGGAAGTGGGCACTATCAGGGCTCAAGGCCAGAAAGGCGGCGACCGGGTCGTTGGGGTGCTCGCGGAGGGCGGCGTGGACGCGGTCCTCGTCGAGGACGAAGATGGCGTCGTCATGGCTGTAGGGGGCTTGGTTGGTGGATTCCAGGATCTGTTGGCTGCTGGCGAAAGAGCTGGACGCACCGAGTGCAGACTGAGCGGTGCTCAGGAGCAGCGGGAGGGTCAATAGAGTGCTGCGCATGGTGGAAAATAGGAAGGTGGAGTTGTTGTGGAGGGATAAGCTGACGGAAGGGATGGAGTGGGTGCGATAAGAGAGAGGAGGTATTTGTATTTGTATTTGTAACCCGAGGCACCGGACCTCGGAGCTGCGGCACGGACCCCGAATCACGGATAAGATAAGCCTCTGGTTGCGCTGGAATACTGCCGATTGGTTGGGAGGTGAAATTCTCCTGGCAGCACTCCTTTTACTCCGTAAGACATCTAAGGTGTCATGGATTGCGTGATAGGCGAAGATTAAGTGTCTTGAGATGGTTTTGTAGCTGTAGGAGTGATGCGGAGAAGAGAGGCGGAAATTTACGGCGGATTGCAACCACCAAGTCGCAGCCTAGTACGAGTCAGTACAACTGAAGAACTGCTAATATAGCCCCGCCGAGCTTCCATAGCTGTAGTAGTGGGCCTAGATGCAACGGCAGCAGCCGGCATAAAGGTGGCAGCTGGACTGCCTTGACACTAATTTAGGTAAACAATACTCAAGATTATTTATAATCAAAACAAAGCTTGGGAAAACCTACTTATGTACTGGAAATCCTAATTGATTTAGTATCTTTTAGTTATACTATACAGAAGAACTTTCATACTACAGTCATAAGACGGTTAACATACTTCTGAAGCATAATGAATTTCTGCAGGGTGAAGATTATTTAACCGGCGTTTAAAGATACATTATCTTCTACACCCACAGTCTTATAAGCTAAGACACTACTAGTTGACGCCTGAGGATCAGCCGCGCGGACTTTCTCCACTAGTCTCCATTATTTACCTATCCAAATGCAGTATCTTCTGCGGTATCTGGTCTTCGCGTGAAAGAATAGACAAAAAAAAAAGATTTAAAGCACGCAGAAAAGGTCCTGTCAATGATTCCCACCGACCAAAACAATTCTGCTTCTTCGCCTTCTTCTCAATCTATTCAACCCTCTTGATCGTGTGACCAACCACTCCACAACATGCAGCTTCGCTATCTGCTCGCCAGCTGCATCGCAGCCACCCAGACTGTCTTCGCCTGGGACATGAACGCCTGGCACGGCACGGAGTGTGGCGCGGCCGGGGGAGCCGAAGGATACGAGGTGGCCGACTACACTTCTACGGGCTGCTTCAATTTCGACATGGAGGACGGGTACCGCATCCACTCGGTCAAGGCTGTCTTCAGCGATAGCAAATACAAGATCACCATCTACCCCAAGTCCGACTGCAAAGCCGAAACGTTGTGGCCTGGCATTGAGCTAACCACCGAGACGTGTACGGTCTTCAAGGAATGGACGACAGATGAGGTCATCTATTCGTACAAAGTCACTGCTGTCTAGACGAGCACACCACGCAGGGGCTCTTTGGTTCTGGACCTCTTGAACCGTCAAGTCCGGCAAGGTTCATGTTCCTGCATCAATTCTCAGCAAGAATCACGCAGAGCCTATTTTCTTATCTTATGCTATGTCAGTGTTAGAGGTTAGACCGCTTGTCGTTTTCTTTTGTTTTCTATGGTTTTTGATTATTGGTTTCCATTTTGTTTTTTTTTGTTTTTTTTTCCCCGCAAGAATTCGCAGCTTTCCCGGTTACTGGTCAGTCATTGAGGCATTTCTGAGGCGATTCATGGCACATTCGTCGTGGATGTGGCTGTTCTGACATGATACAGGCCGCCATATTGTATACACCTCCTAATCGCAAGGTCATTTGCATCGGTGTGATCGCGCTCACACAGGTAATGCAGGATCTTCTTTACATGACAAATCTCAAGGCGGCATCGAATGCATTGATAGTTGCCTGGCTTAGGAGGTAGGTCACGCTTACATGTCTCCGCAGATCAAACGGTTCGCTTGCTGATTGATGATGTGAGCAGCTCAGATCCCGCAACAACGGCATCACGAACTACACAATCTCTTCAGAACATGCGACTCAAAAGTGTCCCTCATGTCGAAAAGAGCATGGACAAGGTTGCACGAGTGAATTTGAACGGCGGAAGATGTGGCGGGTGCACTTGGCAGTTATGCTGGGAAGAATGTCGCTGGCACTTGGAAGACTACAATTCCGTGAACAGGGGACAACATACATGTAATTCTATTGATGCTTATTGGTCTTCCCTGGGGATAAAACAATTATCCAGGACAATGAGATGCTCACCGCCTAAGTCGAGCTTTACATCAAAGGCGAAACACCATTTAGCATCATTTAGACACTACCAAAATGAATTGTCTTTTTCACCAGATTCACTACATCACTATTAGTATTTGTTGTTGAGGAAGCTGAGTACTTGAGTAGTCTTGTTCTTCATACTACTATGAATCTTTATATGTATATAATCTAATAAGTAACCATTAATTTGGAAAGGCCTTACTGTTCTCTTACTACTCCAGGCAGTAAATGCCCTCTTCTCCGACAGATAAGCCGATGGGAGGGATAGAGTGGAATCACCGATAAAATAAGCTTTGATTGCGCTGGAATACTGCCGATTGGTTGGGGGTTGTATTCTCAGGCAGCACTCCTCATATAAAGATGCCTTGGAAGTTAGGTATTATGAATATTACTATGTATTGTATTTATTATTACGAATGCAAACCCTGAAATGCCGACATAAGCTCACTTGCAAAAGTACGCCTGTTTTTTCTTTCACTTCAGTTGCTCTTCCAGTGGAGAATGCAGATCTTGCTTCCTCAAGAACCCCACCCGTTGACCCAACGCGGTGGATAATGGACCCTTCTAAGTTGGGACCTTGGCAGCAGGAACAAGATCTACTATGTATGCCATTCTCCAGGGATGCTAGATTCACAAGGAACCTATTATTACCGGTATGTTCTTGGCCATCGCTGCTCGAGTACGAAAAATGCTATCAGGCTGCACCATGGGGAGACCCCATCCTGGGCCTGAATTGATTGATTGATTCAGCGACTGGCTGAAGCCGCCTCGTCTACGGAAACACCGACCGCATGCTCAACTTGCCATCAATTGTCCATTCAGTGAGACGTCGCCCTAAAACTATGCCTTTCTCCCTTCCCTATTATCGGGACACCAGTGAATCTGCTAGGGCCTCTTCCTGATCAAAATGAGATTGCACGGGCAACACCCAAGAGTCTCCCATCGGTATTTCTTTTCTCGTGAGCAAGACCCTGCGATGACTGGTCCTTTTCGGACGGTGGAAGAGTTCGGTAAAGCCATCGCACTTCGCTCCCAGAAGATGTGGAGCAAATCAAATCGTCACAGTGTTCTCTCCGACTATCTTGCTCGCCACCTCCTATCAGCACTTCGCGATCATCCGCCCATGTTCACCCACGGAGATCCCTACCGAGGGAATGTTCTGGTCAGAAGGGTCGTGACTCCTGTCACCAACGAAGAAGAGTATGAAGTAACTGCTCTAGTGGACTGAGAAACAGCTGGATGGTATCCTTCGTACTGGGAATACGCTCATATCTTTCCCTTGTTGCAGTGGATTGATGACTGGCCGGGGTATGTGGAAAAGATCCTCAATCCCCTGCCGCTGGAGGGCGCCATTATGTGGGTTGTCTCTTAGAGATATGGAGTTTTAACTTGATGTGAGGTGTTATGATGTTGATACTGGGGTCTTTGTCCGGTCCTGATGAAGGGTCTGATAAGTGATTTAATTCAGTGTTATTCTGACTTAGTGCTTGGTAGTCAAGCGTATACATGGAACGATATCCTTTATTCTTCCAGTCACGCCTGCTCTTTCGACAGTTCAGTTTAGAAGATGCCTGAACATTGCGACTTTTTCGAGTACACGACTGGACAATATATTGATCAATAACGCGTGTCCACGTGCCTCGCGCAATGGCGTTTTTGTGGCTTATATGCAGTGCAACCCTGTGGCAGTTTAATTTATCTACTCATGTACGGAGTACCTCGGCCCAACAACTCCCATCAATTGTTCACATTTTACCTACGCATAGTACATTGCCGTCCTGCGCGGCATAATTAATCAATTGATCAATTCTGGAGAAGTTTACTGACAAGAGGACGTCAGACTACCAACATCATGCTCAATCTTCCCAGGCTCGAGGCGTGACTGTACATAAGTATATAACCTCCCCCTCTCGGCCGAATGCTCGCCATAGTGGACCCCGGATTGCTCATTTCCCAGCCCGATGCTTGGATCTCCATCCCGCCCACAATATCCTGCGCCAAGCACAACTTCCCAGTTCCTCTTCTGCAACAACCCCCCTCTAAGTTACCCATGATATACCCCCTTCCTCTTCGCCGCGGAGAATCGAGCCTCCAATAGCGGGAAGGATATGCAATCACGCCAACGGTGGCAGCGATGGTGCAGCGGAATACATCATGTATGCACCAGGGTATATCATAATCACCCGCACCGGGGTGCATCTCCCCAGTGAATCGGGGCTCCAGACTTCTTCCTCAGGTCCACCACAGTCTGCACCATGACAGAGCTCACCGAGGAGAAAACCGTGGACGTCCACCCGACACCCCAACCCCAAGCCCCGGAGAACCCCGGCCGCAGCAGCAGCGACAGCAGCATTGCCGAACATGCAGGTGTCAACGAGAAGGCGCTGCTCCGCAAACTGGATTACCGACTTCTGCCCCCATTGACAATCTTGTATCTGCTGTCGTTTCTCGATCGGAGCAATGGTATTACTGACAATGCTTGATTCTGTGGAACATGGCTAATGGTCCGATGCGGAACAGTGGGTAATGCCCGGCTGGAAGGCATGGGTACCGATCTCGACATGTGTAGGTTGTCCTCTTTAATTGATTCTTCGAAACTTGGGGGCTGGGGACTGACCCTCGCGCAGCAGGAGACCAGTACCTCACCGGCCTGACGCTCTACTTCATTGGATACGTGCTGTTCGAAGTGCCGTGCAACATCATCCTGAAGAAGACCACCCCGCGGACCTGGCTGCCGACGCTCACGCTGGTCTGGGGCGTCGTCGCGACGCTCTGCGGCGTGGTGCAGAATTACGCCGGGTTTCTCGTGTCGCGACTAGGTAGGGGCCGCCTCTGTTGACAGACCTAGCAGCAACGCAAACCCATGCTAATACGCCCACAACCAGCCCTCGGAATTGCCGAGAGCGGCCTCTTCCCTGGCGTGGTCTTTTATCTGAGTATGTGGTACAAGCGCAACGAGCAACACTACCGCGTCGCGCTGTTTTTCAGCGCCGCCTCGCTGGCGGGGGCCTTTGGGGGGATTCTCGCCTGGGTACGTTCCCCTTCCCAATCCTCCATCGCACAGCAACTGGCCTGCAGACAAATAACTAGCCGGAAACAGGGAATCGCCCACATGCGCGGCGTAGGAGGCTACAACGGCTGGCGCTGGATCTTCATCCTGGTGCGTGCCCACCCTTACTCCTACCAACCCTAACCCACCCCTAATACGTGTACAGGAAGGCCTCCTAACCATCATCATGTCCCTGGCCGCCTACTTCTGGGTCTTCAACTACCCGTCGAGCGCCGAGTTCCTCACCGACCTGGAGCGAAGCTACATCCAGCACCGGCTGAAGCACGACAGCGACGCCACGCGCCACGAGACCTTCAGCTGGGCGGCCGTAGGCCACGCCTTTTCGGACCCAAAGGTGTGGTTGTACGGGCTGGCCTTCCACACCCTATCGCTGCCGCTGTACACGTTGTCTTTGTTTATGGTAGGTCCTGCGCCCTTCGGTCCCTCCCACAATCCACATATCAACCCTGCTAATTCCCACCCCAAAGCCAACAATAATCTCAACCCTAGGCTACACCGCCGCTCAAGCCCAACTCCTGACCGTCCCGCCCTACGCCGTCGCCTTCTGCCTAACGGTCACAACCGCCATCCTCAGCGAACGCACCCGCCGCCGCGCCCCCTTCATTTTAGGCAGTACATCCCTCGCATGTCTGGGCTACATCCTGCTGCTGACCGACCCCCGCCCCGGTGTGTCGTATGTGGGGACCATCTTCGCCGCGGCGGGCATCTACCCGGCCGTGGCGATCGTGCTGGCCTGGCCGGCCAACAACGTGTCCGGGCAGACGAAGCGTGCCATCGCCAACGCGCTGCAGATCTCCATCGGGAACCTCGGGGCCGTGCTGGGCACGCAGCTGTATCGGACAGAAACCAAACCGCGGTATTTCTTGGGCCATGGGTTTGCGTTGGGGTATCTGACGGGGAATTTGGGGGTGGTGGGGCTGTTGTGGTGGGTTTTGAGGCGGGAGAATTTGCGGAAGGAAAGGAAGCGAAGTGGTGGGGTTGTTGTTGCGGATGGGTTCGAGGGGGCCGAGTTTCGTGGGGATGAGGATCCGAGGTGGGTGTTTCAGACTTAATTTCTAGAATGTACTGTACCATGGGAATGGAAGTGCGTATATGGTTCAGAACGCATGCATGCGAAGGCAATGGGCGCGAGCTACCGCGAAGCCCTAAACAACACCTCCCCTCATCGTCAACACCCTCGCATCCCCAATATCAACCACCCTCCCTCGCTCCAGCACAACAACCCCGTCATAGTCCGCAATACTCTCCACCCGGTGCGCCACCGCCAGCACCGAGCACGATCGGAACGGCTCCTCCCGTAACAGCGCCTGCACCCGCGCCTCCGTCTCCCGATCCACATGGCTAGTCGCTTCATCCAACAACAGAACTCTGGCCCCACTGCGCTGCAGCTTGAGCATCGCCCGGGCGAGCCCGAGGAGCTGCGTCTGGCCGCGTGAGAGCGTATCGGCGCCGAGCTCGGCGTCCAAGCCCCCGCTCCGTTCAGCTAGCACGCCGTGCCACAGGCCCACGCGGTCCAGGGCGGCGATGATCTCTGCGTCGGGAAAGTTGCCGCTGCTGCTGCCGCCGGGGGTGGGGTCGGCGTTGAGCCGGACGGTGCACCCGGCTAAGATGAGAGGGTTCTGGGCGATTGTGACGAGGCGTTCGCGGACGGTCTCGCGCGAGATCGTGGACAAGTCGAGGTCGTCGATGAGGATCGAGCCGCTAGTTAGTTCGAGCATGCCGAGGATTGTGCTGAGGAGAGTGGATTTGCCGCTGTTGCTCAGAGGGGGTGATGTGAGAGATGGACGCAGTGGGCTCGCGAGCTGGATGGGGTAGGGAATAAATGAGAGGGGTACAACTAACCTACCTGTGCGACCACAAATGCCGATCTTTTGTCCGGGTCGCACTTTGAAAGATAAGTCTTTTAGGATGGGAGTTTTGGGGCTGGAGGGTGCTGATCAGTGACTATCTCCGTAATCTGGGATGGGGGATTGGTTTGCGTACTTGTACTGCGCTGTTACCGCTTTGAACTCGATTGCGCCGCGGGCGGGCCAGGAAGCAGGAACGTTGTCGGTTTTTGGAGTGTCTTCACGCTGGGTTCCCCGTTCAAAGTCTTTGATGCGGGCAATAGAACCAAGGGAGATCTCGAGCTGCGTCCAGCCCGTGATCAGAGACGAGAGGCTCTGGTTGAAAGCTTCATGGCGCATTTCAGCCCTTGGACTTACAATAGACATAAGAAAACAAGTAGGTAAACATACAAAGAATGTTGTTGAGCGAGACGCCCAAAAGTCCAATGCTAGTCGCTGCCCTCAGGTTGACGGCCAGGCTCACAAGGAGAACCGCCTCGGCAGCAACAATCAGGTCGAGAACCAGAGTGAGCCACCTTTGAATGCAGTATAGCAGATAATACGGCCGCTGAGAAACATCTAAAAGCTTAAAGCTCTTCTCAGAGAATCTCTTCTGCCAGCCGAAGGCCTGGATTGTACTGAGCCCATTCATAGTATCCATATAATGCGAATACAAAGGGCTCCTGCTTTCTAGATCAAGAAGTCGAAGCTGTCGCGATGTCTTCAGGTAGTAACGCTGCACAAAAAACACTGCCACAATGAGAAACGGAACAGTGATAGCCATCCAGGTCGAGCCAGTCGCAATGAGTGCAGCAGCAGCGATTGCGGTTAAAAGGTCTATACGTTATCAGTATGTTGTCATAGCGGAGATAGTTTCTTTCCGCCCGCTGGTGGGTTGCAGCTACTAACTGCATAATGGGCGACGGCTTACTTGAAATCGTGATCAGAAGGCCAACTGGTAGTTGGCTCTCGATCAAAGTCATGTCCTGGCTGAATCGATTTAGAAGTGCGCCACTATCCATGGTTGCAAGCGTGGTTGGAGATGCTCTGACGCCAGTTAGCGAGGGAGAACTTGAAACAATGCATTGGAGCACATGTACATACCCCATGACAGTCTTCAGAACAACATAGTGAAGCTTGCGTGCGGTGGACGGGGATATGAGTATCAAGATTGCCCTAGTTTCAGGTAAGCTCACACCAGAGACAGTATCGCAGGTGACTTACCAGACATAACCACCCATACATATGACTTCCAGTATCGCCAACACAATGTAAACTGTCACATAGAGTACTCTCTGCTCTCCTCCTCGGCTAGTCCATCTCTCCAGCCATATTTCTAGAAGCAGGGTTTAGCGGATAACGATATGGTAGGACTGGGGGCAACGTACGGCTGAAGGTACTGCAGAAAACATTGAGAATCACGAAAAGAAGAAATAGCAGAGAACTTGACCAGCCGATTGAACTCAGATAATATTTATACACTTGAGAGTCACCTGTTGACCGCTTCAGATCGCTGAGCTGGTTATCCTTGGCAATTTGCGCTGCATCCTCCCTACGCATAAGCGTAGTGTTTTCTCTGCTACCCCTTAGTGTGTCTATCGTATCATGATTAGACGGTTCAGGAGAGATTATATTATCACAGTCGTCTTGTTCGAGTGTGCCGTTAGAAATGATCAGGGTCCTGTCGGCATAAGCAAGAGATGCAGCTAGAGAAGGGTTAACCACAAGGCCAGCGAAGTCAGCGGTTGCTGTACTGCACTTACTGTCATGCGTAACGAGAATCACTGTCGAATTGAGCTTCCGAAACACACCCCTTTCCCCAAACAATCGTTCGAGTACCAGACTCTTGGTATTTGTGTCCAATGCACTGAGAACATCGTCTAAGAGAACAAGATCCTTTCTAGCATATACTGCTCGAGCCAGAGCGATTCGATCCATTTGTCCGCCACTCAATCTAGCACCCAAGCCACTGCCGATCTGCATGTCATCTCCTCCCGGGATAAGGCGCAGGTCCTCGTCGAGAGCACAAACATGCAGCACGGTACTGTACCATTCGTGATCGATACTCTGCGGGCTTTCTTTCTCTGTTGTGACGTTCCCACATATTGCGTTTCGTATGGTGGTGTTTGGCAACCACGTTCTCTGTGCGCAATAAGCTATGCGACGAGTAGACAAATTCACCGACCCCGTCTCGCAAACAACCTGGCTGAGAATAGCTCGGAGAAAAGTAGATTTCCCTGATCCCACCGGTCCGCGGATAGAAACGATCGCACCCCTGGGTACCCCAAGGTTGATTTGATTCAACAAAACCTTGCCCTCAGTGGTCGGGCGGATGCTAGCGCTTTCAAAAGCCACAACTAGAGAGTCCTTGCTGCTAGGATTGACCATGAGCGATGAGGTCTGTTCTGCAACCCCCGGCATCGGTTTGCTACAGGCATGGTTGGCCGTCATATTATCCTGGTTGTCTTGCGATAGGCTATTTTCGGCAGGAATCAGAAGAAAGCTTTGAATCCTATCGAAACAACCCAAGGAAGATGTCGTTGAGGGAATGGCACTCAGAAGCTTTGCGGCTGGGTTAGTCAGAAGGGTGATTATAGACAGACTGGTAAATGTTTTGGTGGAATCGAGCGAGTGGCCTTGCACACCAAAGACGGCAAATGTCAGCGCAGGAGCTAATGCCCAGGGTAAATTTTGGATCATGTTTTGCCACACAATATGCCATCGAAAGGAAGACATCTGCTGCGTCTCGTCGACCCGTTTCTTCTGGATGATCTGCGTAAAAGCCCGGCTTAACCCCATTTGCTTCACGACTTGAATGTCTGTAAGCATCGAAGTAATGATTGCAAGGCGCTGTTGCACCGCATCCACCCAGATCTTTTGGCGGTTCCCAATATTTTTCGAGATGTAGGTGCAGGCAAGGCTAGAGACTGTTATCCATGGGGATTAGTCGACCCTCTTGTCTACTTGTGATGTGGTATTCACCTACCAATGACGATTATAACAGGAATCGCACTCACCCACCCTAGGCGAATTGTGAGTAGGGTAATCCCGATGGCTACCTCGATGATACGTGCCCAGCACTCGTGTAGCTGGACTAGGCAAGCAGATATCCGATCGATGTCGGTGGTCATTCGAGTGATCGCGGCTGACCGGTCTTCTAGCTGTCCATCTGGAATACACAGCATATGCTCGTACACCAGCGAGGAGGCTGCTCCTCGGAACATAGTAATGAACCGATATAGCAGGTGATTGGAGTGAAGGGTGGAGATCGCTAGGCCTAGATACACCAGGACTGTGGCGGCAATGAGACCGTGACCTCGTTCGGTGCTTTGTCCGCTACTAAGCCAGTCAAGAAGCCCGGCGATCAGAAAAGGCTGCGCAAAGGTGAAGCCGATCAAACACATCCGTGGAAACACTGCCATTAGCAATGGCTTGCACAGCGCCCGACATAATTTCCACGGAAATTCAAAACGCCGTGCTGGAATCCTGCGCTGGGCCCAAACACGCTGCGCCCGTTCGCTGACAGTCGCCGAGTTCAGCGCCTGATCGAGATTATACATATCATCGATTGTTAAGAGACGTCGTGAGCCGACAATAAACATGTGATTCAGCCACCACATGAACGACCGGTTGATAATCCCACTGGTAGATTCAGGGGGTAAACCTCGATAGTCGTCTGTCAGGTACTGTCGTTTCTCAAGACTCTCAAGCAGGAGCATTATCATTTTAGACCCCACGCTTATCGTGAAGAGCACAGGAAGGAGCATGGTCTTTGGGAGACGCAGCCATAGCGTGCGGGCCTGGACTATGTCGAACAGCAAGGTAAGGAGGAGGTATGCAGTGAGAAGTGAAGAAGGTCTGGCCGATCGGCCATCTTCTAACCAGCATAGCACAAGAAGCTCTATTGCGACTATCAGATTGATCGAGGCTGACGGCACCGAAGCTTTGGTCCGGGGTAAATCATGACGAGTCCAGCACACAAGGAGCGTGAGTTGGATTAGAGCAAAAGTCAGGGTTGCGGCCTATCCCTCGTATGAATTCCAAGTGAAGTTGTCTTGGAGATGGAATGTCTTACTAGTTTGACAAACCGTAGAGAGTTGCGCTGTGTTCGTGCATCTTTCTTGATGAGGTAGCCCACTCGTAGCGGAGAGGCAAGCAAGAACACCGCCGCAGGAACAATCCCGAGAATGCTCTGTTCGAAGAGAAGCGTGAAGTCGAAGCCATTGCGACAACCCAGGGCTACTACGGGCCCAAAGACATTATCTGCATCGAGCGAGCAATTGGATGGGACTGATATTCGATCCATCATCATGGGATACTCGTGAGAAGATGGGAAAGATGCAAGGAACAAAGCAGAAAGGAGGGGAAGATCGTAGACTATGCATCGCCCGGCTCTTATCGTCGGAGTCCGCAAAGGGTAATTAATTAGCCTCCATTAGGCCTTGCTTACTAGTACGTGCTTCAATGCTTCCAAGTTGACAATATACCAACGTCGCGCGAATCACGAGCAAGACAGCAGAAGATGCTATCATGTTTCGACAAATAATGTTTCGAGAAAAAGAAAACTTGTTACGGGGCAACAATCAGGTCTAACAAAGAGATGGAGCATAAGTCTGAAGAAATAATGATTATATTGATTGGTAAGTTGATTGCTGCTAGCAGCAGGGCCATCAACCACAGATTGTAATAGTCGTTGTAGTCGTCGTTGTAGTCGTCGTTGCCAAGTTGTTGTCCCAGGGGTATAAAGTTGGGGGAATTCCAGTCCCGCCCAAAAATGGGTAGCCTTCCGGCTGTCCCTTCAACGCCAGTTTCCCTTCCCAAATCCTGAATCCCAAATCCCAAATCCCAGTGTCCTTCCAATCCCAATAACTCCCAAGAAAAGAAATTGAAAGAAACGAAAGAGGAGCAGAAAACAAGTCACAAAACAAAGAAAACACGCCAGAAACACGCCAAACACATAACACACACACAAAACGCAACGAACGCAACACACACCACACACACATCACACACACCATACACACAACACACACACCACACGCAAAACACAACACACACAGAATACAATCCATACACATAACGGGATCGTATAATTGGAAATAGGGAAAATTAAATCTAATCTAACATGCGAGCATCTCTATATGCCTCGCAAATAGCCTACGGGGTGTATGTAATGACATTGAACAACTTTTCGAAAGCAAAGCCAATGCCGAAACGGGAAAAAAACAAATAGGAAACACATGATAATCGAGGTCGCCAATCAGAACTGTGAGAGCACAGATATCCTTTGGTTTGCCCGCATATCGTACATCATCCCAGAAATGACCTAGGGTGCCATGACCAAGGCAAGAAGAGCCATGCGGCAGTAAAGGCCATATCTCATCTGTGTCCAAGTCAGCGTATATTCAAACATATTAGATGGCCAAGTCACACTAACCTGGCGGAAGTAAGCAGCCCGCTGGTCGAAGTCAACCTCCTCCGAGACCTCAGCATTGCGAGGCAAGGGGTGCATAACGACCATGTGGCTCTTGGCGTGCTTGAGAAGAGCGTTGTCAATGACAAAGGTGTTCTTGAGACGCTCATACTGCTCGAGATCGGCAAAGCGCTCCTTCTGGACACGGGTGGAGTACAGAACATCGGAGCGGGCGACGATCTCAGGGGTCAATTCCTCAGACTCCACAACAAGCTGGCCAGAGGCAACAATCTGCTGGCGGACCTCCTCGGGCAGAGACAACTCCTTGGGGGCAACGAGCTGCACTCGGACGTCGTAGAACTGGAGCAACTTGAGCAGAGAGTGGACAGTACGGCCGTATCTCAGATCACCGGTAAAGGTGATGGTGAGACCTCCGACAGTTCCAAGCTCCTCACGGATGGTGAAGAGGTCCAAGAAGGCCTGAGTGGGGTGCTCAACGCTGCCGTTTCCGCCGTTGATGACGGGTACAGGGGAGAACTTGGCCGCAATCTCAGTGCTGTTGGCATCAGGGTGACGCAGAACAACAGCGTCTCCGTAGCAAGCAAGAGTGCGCAGAGTATCCTGGAGAGTCTCGCCCTTCTTGGTGGAAGAGTGCTCAGTGGAGATGGCAATCGTCCGTCCACCAAGGCGCTGCATAGCAGCGTCGAAAGAGGCGGAAGTTCTGGTGGAGGGTTCGTAGAACAAGGTAGTTAGCAGACGGCCCTTGAGAATGTCGAGCACTCCCTGGCGCTGAACACCCAAGCGCATCTCCTGGGCCACGGTGAAGAGCAAGTGCAAATCGGCGCGAGTGAACTGGTTCACCGAAAGCACATGCTTCTGCTTGAAGGGAGAGCGAGAAAGCATGTCCATCAAGGAAGAGGAGATCTGAGGCACCGGGGTGTACAGGGGAGGGCCGAGTTCACCAACCGCGGGAGCAGCCTGTTCGGCTGCGCGGCGGGCTTGGCGAAGAGGAGTGCCAGAGATGGAGAGTCTCCGGTCGAACGAACTCTCCGGGCGAGCGCGAACCATGGGAGACATGGCCTTCACAGACGGGGAAGCAGGAGCGATCCGGTGAGTAGACATGTCAATTCCCTTGGGAGCGTCGGGAGTGAGCGCGCCATCGAGGCAAGAGGTCTTGCCCTGGAACGTGACACGCTGCACAGCACCACGGACATTCTTGCCATTGAGGGGCGACCAGCCATGAGGACTCTGGAAAGTGTAAGGGCGGTCAATCTCAATCTCAACGGAGCTGTCAGCCTGGTCGTGGATCTCGAAGATCTTCTTAGGGTTCTCGTAAAGGCGAGCGATGATGTCCTCAATAGTCAAGCGGCCCTCAGCAACGGCGGTGAACAGCAGAGGCAGGGACTCAGCGACACCAACAACAGCAGAGCCCTTATCACCAGCTAGCTGGAAGGGAATGCTACCGATGGAGAAGACATCAATAGTGCTCAAGTGTTCCCACAAGGCCTTCTGATCCTCAGCGGAGGGCAAGAAGGACTCGGGGTAGTCTTCCTTGGAGAAGAACAGAGAGAAGATAGACACATCGCAGGTCACCTTGAGACCCTTCTCCTTGCTGAGAGCGATCAGGGTAATGTCCTCCTTGGAAGTCACGTTCATCACATGGATGTTGCGGCTGTGGAGACTAGCCAGGAGCAGCACAGAGGCCAAGTCTGTAGACTTAGCATCGGTGATGATGGGCTTGCTAGAAGGCCAAGCAGCGAAGTGGCTAGTGACAGCAGCAACCTTGCTAATGTTACCGGAAAGGTGGTTGAAAGGAATGAAGAGAGCACCGACATCTCCAGTCAACTGGCCGATCTGGTCAGCGTTGGTCGACGTCGCGGAAACAGAGAAGTTGAAGTCACAGAAGGCACCCTTCTGGGCGTTCTGCTGGACAACCTTGAGCGCAGCCGCTTCGGTAACCGAGGCATCGACACCCACGGGCATGACGCGTACCATGCTGAACCCGGAGGCAATGGAAGCCTTGGTCATGAGCTCGAAATCGGAGGAACCGGGGGTGACAAGGCCAGGGACGAAAGCAGCGACGTTGATCAAACCGGGAAGGATGATAGTGCGGTGGCTGGTCTGGTAATCCAGAGTACGGACAGCGAGATCGTAGTGGCGGGCAATGGCCTCGATCAGGATCTTGGCGTTCTTGACATTGGTGACCAGAGGAGTCTGGTAGTCAACGGCCATACGACGAGTACGGTAACCCTTACTCATGTAGTTGGCAGGGCGTCTGAAGCGGTTGTTTGACGGCAAGTTGATGTACAGATCGATGAGGTTGTTGGCCAAGTGCTGAGTGAGAGAGTACTCGGACTTAATGTCCTCCTCTTCACCAGGCAGGATTTCAAGAAACTTGCAAGGAATGCCGTTTTCCTTGAGGAAATCAGCAGTACCAGCGGTGGCAAACAGGTTGTACTGCAACTGGTGGAGCTTGCGAATGGACGGGAGCATCTCCATCTTCTCCTTGTAAGAACCAATAGAGAAGAGAATGTTGCGCTTAGGGAGACGGAAGCCAGTGGAGATCAGGCCCTTGAGGTAAGCTTCATATTTGTCACGTCCGAAAGAAGCGACTTCACCGGTCGAAGCCATCTCAACACCCAGAACAGGATCAGCACCAGAGAGACGGGAGAAGGAGAATTGAGGAACCTTCACACCGACGTAGTCCTTGGGAATGGAGACAGGAGGATACTCGGCGAAGGGCACTCCAATCATGGCCTTGGTAGCCATCTCGATGAGGTCGACACCCATGGTCTTGGATACGAAGGGGAACGAGCGGGAAGCTCTCACATTGCACTCGATAACCTTGATATCGTTGTCCTTGGCAATGAACTGGATGTTGTAAGGACCGGTGACATTGAGAGCATTACCGATCTTTCTGGTAGCCTCTTCAATGCGACGGACGGTTTCAGGGTCCAGGTCCTGAGGGGGCAGGATCAAGGTAGCGTCACCAGAGTGGACACCGGCGTTCTCAACGTGCTCGGAGATGAAGTGTCCGACCATAACACCGTTACGAGCGACAGCATCCATCTCAATTTCCTTTGCGTTCTCAATGTACTTGGTGATAACGACGGGGTGCTCACGCGAGACATCGGCAGCCTGGTTAAGGTAGCTGGCCAGATCATGCTCAGAGTAGACAGTGTTCATGGCAGCACCAGACAGTACGTAAGAGGGACGCACAAGCACGGGGTAGCCGACCTTGTTACAGAATCCAGTAGCCTCATCGATGCTGGTTAATTCCTTCCAGGCTGGCTGGTCGACGCCAATACGGTCCAGCATACGAGAGAACTTGTAACGATTCTCAGCGCCATCAATCATCTCAGGGGAAGTACCGAGGATCTTGACGTTCAAGCGGTGGAGGGGCAGAGCAATGTTGTTCGGGGTCTGGCCACCCATGGAGATGATAACACCGCTAGAGGATTCCAACTGGTAAATATCCAGAACGGTCTCAAGGTTGATGTTCTCGAAGTACAGACGATCAGCCTCATCGTAATCGGTACTGACAGTCTCCGGGTTGTAGTTGACCATGACAGTCTTGTGGCCCTGCTCGCGCAAAGTACGAATGGTACGGACAGAGCACCAATCGAACTCGACAGAGGAACCAATGCGGTAGACACCAGAGCCGAGAACCATGATACCATTGTCGTTGAAGTTCACGTCGTGCTCAGACGCATTGTAGGTGAGGTACAGATAGTTGGTGAACGAGGGGAACTCGGCAGCGACAGTATCGATCTGCTTAACGATCGGAACAATGCCCGACTCGACACGCATACGTCTGACAGCAAGCTCGTTGGAGCTCAAGAACTTAGCCAGCTGACGGTCGGAGAAACCAAGCTGCTTGGCGCGCTTGATCAGGGGTCTAGGCACAGTGGTAGCATTGTACGAGGTCATAAGCTTTCCGAAATCGCTGAGACCCTTGAGTCTGCTCAAGAACCACTTGTCGATCGAGGTGAGCTTCCAAATTTCATCAACACTGTAGCCAGCGGCCATGGCGTTGGCGATTGCGAACAGACGCTGGTCAGAAGGAGTCTGCAATTCGCCCTTGATGGACATGAGAGCGTTAGTCTCGTTGAAGCCCATATTGTGGAAGTCAACGGAGCGAATGGCCTTCTGAATTGCTTCTTCGAAGGTTCTTCCGATGCTCATGACTTCACCAACACTCTTCATGGAAGATCCAAGCTGAGTAGAGACGCGGGTGAACTTCTTCAAATCCCAACGGGGAATCTTCACAACGCAGTAATCCAGCGAAGGCTCGAAGCAAGCGCAAGTAACCTTGGTGACGGAATTCTTGATCTCATTCAGAGGGATGTTGAGACCCAACTTGGCCGCAATGAAGGCAAGGGGATAACCAGTGGCCTTGGAAGCAAGTGCAGAAGATCTCGAGAGACGAGCGTTGACTTCGATAATGCAGTACTCCTTCGAGAAGGGGTTGAGAGCATACTGAATGTTACATTCACCAACAACGCCAAGGTGACGGATGACGTTGACTGCAGTTGTACGCAGCATGTTGTAGTCCTCGTCAGAGAGGGTCTGGGAAGGAGCGACAACAATTGAATCACCGGTGTGGATACCGAGAGGATCAAAGTTCTCCATGTTACAGACGGTGATACAGTTGTCCCTGCAATCACGAACGACTTCGTACTCGATTTCCTTCCAGCCCTTCATACTGCGCTCAATGAGAACCTGGGGACTGGCAGCAAAGGCTTTGGTGCAAAGATCCCTCAACTCCTCCATGTTATCGGCAAAACCGCTGCCGAGACCGCCAAGAGCATAGGCAGCACGAACGATGACGGGGAAGCCGATGCTCTCAACGACACTGAGAGCCTCTTCCAAGTTGGAGGCAGAGGCAGACTTGGCACACTTCTCACCGATGGAGTCCATGCTACGAGCAAAGAGCTCACGATCCTCGGTGGTGATAATGGTATCAATGGGGGTACCGAGGACCTTAACGCCCAAAGATTCGAACTCATCCTTGAGTTGAATACCGACTTGCAGCGCAGTCTGGCCACCGAAAGTGACGTAAATGGCATCGGGTCTCTCGTGCTTGATGACCTTGCGCACGAAATCGGCATTGACTGGGAGGAAGTAAACCTTGTCCGCAAGACCCTTCGACGTCTGAATGGTAGCGATGTTGGGGTTGATGAGAATGGTGTAGATTCCTTCTTCCTTCAAGGCCTTGATGGCCTGACTACCGGAATAGTCAAATTCACCAGCTTGTCCGATGCTCAGACCACCACTACCCAAGATGAGAACCTTCTTGACAGAGACACGAGGAGAAGCCTTGACGTTGTCCTCGATAGCGCCACCGGGGAAGGAAACAGCTTTGGTGAGAGCCTCGGGGTTGGCAATCGTGTCCTTGACAGTGTTGATGAAGACGTCGAAGAGGAACTCAGTGTCCCGAGGTCCGGGTGTGCTCTCGGGGTGGAACTGGACGCTGAAGAAAGGACGGCTGACATGGCGGATACCTTCGTTGCTACCATCGTTGGCATTCACGAACAGTTCCTCCCAGCCTTCAGGAAGGGTGGTCGAATCCACAGCGAAACCGTGGTTCTGAGAAGTGATGTGGCATTTGCCGGAGACCATGCTGGTGCAAGGAATGTTGTGACCACGGTTACCGAACTTCATCTTCTGGGTTTGGCAACCAACAGAGCGGGCAATCAACTGATGACCCAAGCAGATACCGAACACGGGAGTGCGGGCCTCCTTCATGGTCTTAGCAAGGTTGTTGACGGTGGTAGTGAGAGTAGCGGGGTCACCAGGACCGTTGGAAACGAAGAGGCCGTCATAATCCTTTCCGGCAAGGGTAGGGAAATCGTAGTCCCAAGGGACGACAAGAACCTCGACACCGCGAGCAAGCAAACAGCGCAGCTGGTTGAACTTGAGACCGACGTCCAAGCACAGGACACGGACCGGACGTCCGGAGGGGTGCTTCAGGGCAATATCCTCGGGAGGAGAGAACAGCTTAGGCTCCTTAATGGATACTGTTTCATCATTATCAGTCAAAATGCTTCTTGGTGGAGAGTGGCGTATCGGGAAACTCACCCTCAGCAACAAGGTTCTTCTTGTTGGGGTCAACCCACTCAGTCTCCTCGAAGAAGGGTCGCCAGCTATCCTTCTCCGTGGGGACTTCAGTAGCGCTGTCGACGAATTCAGACTTTTGGAGGAGCATACGACCAAGCATGCTACCCTTCTCGCGAATACGCTTCGTGAGAGCACGCGTGTCAACACCGTGCATGGCAGGGACGCCCTGTTCCTTCAGCCATTGGCCAAGGGAAGACTGAGCCAGGAAGTGAGAGTAATCTTCTCCGGCATAGGTTGCGACAACCAAAGCCGCCACGTGAATTTCAGTGGATTCGAAGTACTTGGGCAAAGTCTTCAGGAGCTCATCCATGGTCTCCCGAGACGGAACACCATAGTTGCCAACCAAGGGGAATGTGATGACCAGGATTTGGCCCCGGTAGGAAGGGTCGGTGACCGACTCGGGGTATCCTACCATACCAGTCTGGAAGACCAGTTCACCAGCAACGCTCTTCTCAGCACCAAAGCTGTAGCCCTGGTAGACTGTGCCATCCTCGAGCTCAAGGGACATCATCCTTCCGTTGCTGTCACGGGTGGGAGAGGATGCGGGAGCGATCACGGCTCCATTGTGAGCCTCCATAGGAGGAAGCGGTTGCAATTCCTTGTTGATCTGGTTGTAGGCCACGGCGCCTCCAGCCAGAGGGCTGGAGGGGAGCGCAACCTCCTCGGTGGATTGGGGCATAGCGGTGGATTGTGGGGGGAGGGGAAAAGGTCCTCTCGGGGACTGTGTGTCAGAGGTATTCTCTCTACCGTAGCATCAGCAGTCTCCAAGATCCTTTTTGTAAAGATGCAAGAAGGAGGGAGGGATGTCGTTTCGCTGCTTCTGCAGAGGAAGAGGAATAATAAAAGAAGAAGAGGGAGACGAGCAGAAATCTCAGAATAAAAATTTTGTGTACGGGGGGCTTATGGAGCTTTCTCATTGGACTACTCGTTTCACCGATCCGGGGGTTGATGGGCGTTCTGCCATGATCTACCGCCCGCGAGGAAAATTTTTCTAAAGTTTTACGCTTTCGACCTTACTCTTTCTGGGTGATCTGGATGCTTTCATGTAGCTCACTCTATTATATAATGGCCCCTATTATCGCTTGCGAACAATCCAAAACACGCCGCAAATGTCTTCATTCGAGTCGCAATGCTATTGACAGTCAATGATCACAGTGGCATATCATGTAAAACCACTGAAGAGGCGAGAGGAAGGGGAGGGGGGCAAAAGACAACCACAGCAGTGGCCTCGTGGGTGAGGTCATACAGGTTGGCTGTTGGCTAATAGAAACACCTCGCCTCCTCCGATCATCGGTTTGTTGGAGGGGTTCGGGGGAAGAAATGGAGGGGGAAGAGGGGGGAATGGTTCTGCACACGCCACACAGATACGGGCCGGTTCTGCTGTGACTTCTCCGTGCCCGTAGTTTACTCCGTACCGTAGGTATTTTTGTCATGAAGAGGCCCCGTCCCCAGCCAAAATCTGCCGAAGCCGCCCTATACCCGTTGCAGGCACTTGGCACGGAATTTAATTGGTCGCGAGAGGAGGCTCGCCACTCTTAGTGCTGATCGACCTCGCGTGCAGCGGAATTAGTGCAGGCGGTGAGCAGCAGCTTGGTTCCCTGCCTTGGATCTGGCCTGGATCAATTACGGAATATGAATCATCCTTGCCCCCGACTGGCGGTACCGATCCCGGTTGAGCGGCAGACAGAGCCCCCCAGTACATCGAAGGTACACTGAGGGTACACTGAGGGTACACTGCAGAAAAGTGTATACTGTCCAGTAGATAGTAGTTTAGTGGCAGACTCCAACTACCAAACACCGAAAAAAAGGACTTGTTCCTATTCATATATGCCCATGTGTACTATAACGATGTAACGCCACTAAGAACGCAATCAGGTTAATTGTTGGAATGCGGGAGGGTCATACAGCATCATCTGACCTTCCTTATCTCTCGAGAAATTGATCAATGGGCCAATACCCGACCAGTATGGGATCCTGGATATGCTAGCAAGAACTGGCGATAACAACACCTCAGTACTTTCATAGATTTTGACTTATCCAGATGGATGAAGTGTACAATTTTCATCTTGAAAGTGCATGCATTGATGTGCAGTACAATCTGAAGAGGGGCGGGCGGTCGACCTGTAGTAGAGAGATAGTTACTGAGTAAATAGACTATCCGCGATAAGTAACTCACTAGCTTATCCGTGACCGCGCCATAATTAAGGCCGGCCTCCCTTCCGAGTTCCCCTACGTAATAGTCTCACTATCCAGGTCAGTGCTTCGGCCTGGGCTAGCCAAGGCTTAGAGCAGCTACTTATCTTGCGCTAAGACGCGGCCTGGGCGTTGTCGCATGAAATCTCAAGATGGCTGATAAATTTCCTGCGAGTCCTGCGATCTTCCAATCCCTTCTGCTGCTGATGATGCACTGCAGGCGCATGTGAGCTGCGTCAATTTTTGCAGCAAATCGTTTCATCATTCGGTAGCTCTCCCTGTTTATCTAACTCGGCGCAAAAATGTTTACTCCGATCACGCGAACTTGCCTGGCGACTTTCACTAATCCCTCTATCAATCTCTTCACAGGCTGTTGCTGGTCTTTCCGTCGACGTCTTTGAACTTGAATAGTACCTTGCTCTCTTTGCTCGTTTCTGGTGCTGCTGGAACATGATAAGATAAACGACCTTGGAGCCACCGCTTCCCGCGCGATCGTGACTTTCCAGGATCGCTCAAAAGAATGCTCGCCTCTCTCTTACGCCCAAAGAAACGGAGAACGTATGCGGATCATTCTCCGTTCTCATCACCTTATACTACTCGAGATTCACCATGGCCGTTCTTTGATAACAACGCCCCGCAAAGGGGGTGGGAACAAGAATATGGAGAGTTCGGTCAACATAATGGCTTTGGTGAAGCAGATGGTCGAGGACCGGGTCCCGATCAAGATGAAGAGGAAGAGGAAGATACCCCTGTTGAAACCAGCCCTCTTCTTCCTATCTTCTCTGCCTCTCACCTCGGTATGAAACAGCATATGCCATGAGCTGCGCATATACATCGGCTAACCATTCTACGAACTCTAGATACTCTTCCAGTTTATGATATCACACACGCCATTCGCCCTTTGATCGTCACGCGCTGCGAAACTACCTTAACATGGGATCAATTGCGATCGCCCCAGATTTCTCAATTCCTTGTGAAGCCTATTCAGCAGAAAATCCGAACGGCACACTTCTCCAGGGCGACGTTATACGCGCTGATGACCAACTGCTTGCAATTCACAAAAGAGGTTCATTCAAATCCGGGAAACAGTGGTGTGAGCCAGACCAGGGCCATGGTCTGCGAACTTCTCTCTATCAAGTTACTGAGGGAGTATACAACGCGAGAACTGATCGATGCTCTGTCCTATGAATTCTACCCACTCAATGGACAGGCGGCCACTGAACGCGCACTCGGCTGGAAATCCACGCAGGGTAACAAGCGACCTGGCATCGCTCGCATCTCCTGCCTCGAAATAGCCATTCGGGCTCAAGCCAAACGATTTTTATCGCATCCACTTGTCGTACAACAGCTAGAGGCCATTTGGGCAGGCACAATAGTGTTTCATTCAGCTGCTGACAATCTTCATCGCTCGCTAGCAAGACCTCAACAGAACGGAGGGCTAACTTATGGCTCGACACCCAACCTGGTACCAGCCCACCAGCGGACACAATCTGGAATGTCCAACCTGCGCCGTTCAGTGACTATTTATGATCCAAGAGATGCTTCCCTGTTCAAGCTGTCCAGGCTGCGAGTGCCTCGTTATCGTCAATTTCTATCCACACTGTCGTTCGCAATTTTACTGATTCTGTTTCTGGCCGTTCTGCAACAACGTCGCCTTGAGATCACCTCCCTCGAGATTATTTTCTGGTTATGGAGCGCTGGCTTCATGCTCGACGAGATAGTCGGTTTCAACGAACAGGGCTTCAGTCTATATCTCATGAGCTTCTGGAATCTGTTTGACCTCGGCATTTTGTTCCTTCTCTTCTGCTATTACTGCATGCGGCTTTATGGTGCTGTCATGCCCTACACACGCAACAAATACATCGCCGATCAGGCATACGATATCTTGGCTGCGAATGCTGTATTGTTGTTCCCACGCCTCTTTTCAATCCTCGATCATTATCGCTACTTCTCTCAACTGCTCATCGCTTTCCGGATCATGGCGTCGGACCTCATCGCAGTGTTTCTGTTGATTATCATCGCTTGCAGTGGATTTTTCGTTGCATTTACACTTTCGTTTGGCAACGGCGAGGACCACTCGCCTGGCGCCGTGGCTTATGCTCTATTTCAGATGCTGATGGGATTCACCCCGACTGCGTGGACCCTGTGGGAAGACTACAACGCATTGGGGAAACTCATATTGACTATCTTCCTCTTCATTTGTCATTTTGTTGTTGTGACCATCCTGATCACAGTTCTCACCAATTCCTTCATGGGTATTGTGCAAAACGCCAACCAAGAGCATCAATTTCTCTTCGCTGTCAATACCATCTCCATGGTGAAGTCGGATGCCCTCTTCTCCTATGTTGCGCCGACGAACATACTGGCATGGTTGATTGCTCCATTCCGCTACTTCATGTCTTTCAGACAGTTCGTTCGGCTCAATCGCACAATCATCAAAGTTACCCATTTGCCAATCCTATTTTCCATCTGTTTTTATGAGAAGACGATACTCAGCTTCCAAGTCATTGATTCTATCGACCTCATTGATCCTTCTGCTCGCATCGACAGGGCAAACCGCTTTCGACCTCGTCGCAACCGGTTCAGAGCCTTTACCTCTCAGGGAAATCGACTTGTACGAGAGCCCTCGGTGGCTACTTACCAGAAGGATCGGGCCCTGGAAGCTGTCTTCCGACAACCTTATCAGGATGAACCAAGTAGAGGACTAAGGAAGCTTCATCCCCGAGAAAACGACCTGGCTGTCAATCATTGGATGCAGACCATGGGTTCAGGACCCATTAATCCTCCTGATGAGCAAGACTCGGACGAAGTGAATCGTTTAGAAAGATTACCAAGGAATAGATCAGGATACCAGCGGCGAATGACACGAAGCCTGCGCGATTTCACAGAGTCGAACCGGTCGGCTGCCTCTAATCCTGAGGATTCTGCACAGCCTGTGGCATCATCACCAGCTACGCCTCGTCCTGGGAGAGGCTTCTTAATCCCTGCGAGAACCCGACAGCTTTCTCGGCAAACAGGAATGGAGGGTGATGATGAGCTAACTAGCGACGATAATGGCGAATGTACTGGGGAGCAGAGAGAACATCGGTCGCCGTCAAAGAACTCTGAGGAGAACACCCTCATGAACGCAAATGAAAGCTCTCACACCACGCAACCAAAATTTTTCAGCTCCCGACCCTCAACGGCTCGACTCAAGTCTCGCAAGAGCAGTCCCACTCGGCGTATCAAATATCATAAACGCAACTACTCGGGTGCCACTATGCTCTATAATCCGATCTCTCGGAGAAGTGAACATGAGGAAACGGATGCTTCCCTAAATCCTGTCAGACCGAGGGCTCACACTCCAGACCGCGCAAGCAGTATAATCGGACCGCCATCCAGAGGGCCTTGGGCTCTACGACGACACAGTACGGATGGAGGTCGGTCCCGAGTCACGACATTGCATAGATCTGACCCCATGTCTGTTCCTGACATGAATGGCTTTTCAGCACCCGACTCTCATTTTAGAGGACGCCATCAGTCATCAATACTCGACGGTCTGGGCTCCGACCTGGGTGATAACAAAGCAATCACGAACGGCTTCCTTGGCGGGGCTCCGTCAAGTATGACCACTCAAATGGCCTACGCAACGGGCAACATCAGACGCCCCGACAGTCCGAGCAGTAACCAAGATATGCTCAGTAAACTTGTCTTGGCTCGGATGAACAACATTGAAGAAGGTTTCCGCGAGGTGATCAAAGAAGTCAAGGACCTCCGGCGCGGGGGTGCGAGTCGCAGTCAAAGTCGACCTGATGAGCAAGCCACTACTCAGCGCGAGAAGAAGAAGAGACGGGCGGGTGACAAGAAGGAAAACAAGAACGGCCCGGGGTCTCGCAAAAGCAAGGCTAGCAGCGAAGGCCAATACTCAGACGAGTCAGGTACTCAGTTGCGCGAGGAGAACCCCGATTCACAGGATAGGTAGCGGTTTTATTATGTTGATGCATCAATGATTATGACCTGTTCAATGTTTTGTATTAGTATTTGGTTGGCTGTCTCATCAATTTGTTGTTATGCTACATAGCTTTCTTCTATTTGATACCCTTTCCCACTTTTGAAAGGCTATTTCAACATAATGCTATCAGTCCCCGTATCGTCTTATGCTGAATGTTCACAGAGCTTCTAAACCGCTTCCTTAATGACTCAGCCTTGCAGCCATTTCTGAGACAAGCTTCTCTTACCAAGTCTGGGGCTGAGACCACCAATCTAAATATGACAAACGGGCATGGGTTGCCTAATCTTGCAGCCTGGTTAGTCCGGACTTGATCCGGCATACATGTATGTAATGCTAAGGTAATTGATCGCATTTTCACACAACCCAGAGTTAGGGATAACCCTCCAAAAACTTCCTATCTTCGCTTGAGTGCCTATTTTGTCTTCCGCAGTATAAAGTGGATGGCCTGCCCTGAAGGATATTCATGACTGTCTCCCCACAAATTCATTTTGTAACACATTGACTTTGCAAGAGACTCTCCATAGCACCCAGTGAGGAGGTCATAAACGGCAAGTCAGACAGTTTTCGGTTTGTCTATTTTGTTTGCTGTGCTACTTCGCAATGCAAGGGTTGGTTGTGTCAGCAAACTGTCAAGACTGATTCACTTATTTACACTTTAGCAGAGACGACTATAACCGAGAAAGCGATACCTTCAAGATTCAGTCACTCGCACCTTATTTACTTGTACTGGACCATCGTCGGTGAGCTCTACGCCACAGAGCTAGCCATTCAGCTATAGGCAGCAAGTAAGGCTGGGCTGAGGCTGTGACGGGCAGGTCTCTCTCTCTCTCTCTCTTCCTTCCCGCCTTTCATTCACAACACAACTCATCTGCTGTATACATTCATCTTTCTTTTCTCACGTCTCCTCTACTCTCCTCTCCTCTCTTCTTCTTTTCTCGAGTCAACACTTTCTCTTTCATTCTTCTTCCTCCCCGCCGACTCTCCATCCAGTCTTCCATTCTTATTTCTCAGCTTCAGTTCAGAACTTGGTTTTGATATTTCCTGGACCAACCCCAAAGCCCTCCGATCGACTCAGCCATCTCACACCACAAGACATCACTTTGGTTCCAGGCATCGCGATGGATCTCAGCAACGGGCCTGACTTGCTCCTTATGGGCAGTGCTGACACCCTCGTTTACATCGACGACACACAAGCACACGGCCGGTCAAGCTATTCCTTGCAACCACAACGCGCAGTTACGATTCCTCACCGAGTTCACAGCCAGAGTCTACTGTCCACGGGTTCAACCTATTTTCGCGAACTATTTGAGCCTAGAGTTCAGTCCCGAGTCCTAAAACGTCGCAAGCTGGGTGGGGCGTTGCCTGATGGTGTGAAGTTTGTTATTGATCTCACGCCGCCCACCACAGATGATGAAGGGGTGAGGTTCACTGCAGAGCTTTCGTGTCCGCTGGGGTTACGAAAATGGGCTCTCGCACAAGCTCGCTGGACCCTCCCATCTCATCTTGTTAGCGGCATAGACGATGGACTTGAACGCTCCAGTAGCAGTGACGAGCCTGACATCCCTATTGAGTATTCGGAGGCTCGTAACTGCCGGGGGATTGCTCATGTCCTCCAAGCCTTAGAGGGTTTTAAACCTCAGCTTAACACTCCGTGCAAGCTCTGGATATTCCTTGCCTTGGCTAAGCTGTATGGCATCGCCCATCATCCACGGGCCAAGGTCCCGATCCTGACCTGGATTTACGAGGGTAGGAATTCTCTGCTCATTGAAATCCACCCCGAGATTGCATACGGAATAGCTTGCTCTATCCAGTGTGATTATTTGTGCCAGGACTCATTTTCGGTCTTGGTCGGAGAGGCATCTTTGCGACTCATGGCGGAGCCGGACGCAACACATACCCGTCCTTGGGATTTGCACGAAACTCTGTACGGCCGGGTGCGGGAGGTTCTGAATGATGAGGACCGGCAGCGAGTGGAGTATGCCAGTCAAAGCTTCAAGGACCATGTCATTGACACTTTCCTTGAGCTCGTTGGCAGCGAGATGCAATGGCTGGAAAGATTGCCTGCGGTCCGCAAAGTGCTCTTACACGAAGCAGGCGGCCCTCCTTGTTCACTTGCATCTAAGCTCATCAAGTGTCTCAAAAACTATGTGCGATATCATATTATCGATGCATTAAATACCGACCTGGTAACTTGGAAGGAGATCTCAGTGCTTAATGAGCCCGACGATGATTACCCGGGAGAGCGGTTTCTGAAAGCTTATACCAAGATGCATTATACCGAGCGCATTATGAGCCGCACCTTCTGGAAGAACCTCGGGTCAAAAAATTGGAGCGATCTCCCACCGTCAGCTTTCGTAAGCCTGCGCTCAGCCAACTCCATCGCAAATCAATCGGTCGCCGATCTGGGCCGTCATCTACAGCCATTTCGAGCGCAGAAAGATACCAAGATTGGATTTATCGACACGGATGACATGATTGGAGAGGCCAACCGCTACAACGCCCACTTCGGCTCAGGCCGTCCCATTTATGGCGCAAATCTTGTTATTGCACGCCACACTGAAGAGCTGGATTCAGCATGGAACAACACCCTGGGGCGTCTCTCAATCGAAGAACCCTCCGGTCCAACCTGCCATCTCAGAGGTTTCGACCCGGAATGGTACTATAACTTTAACCCTCATGATTTTTTCAACCAACTTTCTTCGTATCTGCACTCAATGTCAGAGAGGATGCGCGGGTCCTATCGATCTGATACGGATCAGCTACTTACCGACTGTGTCAGCTGCCTGACTGCGAATGAAATGAAGTATCTTCCCTTGTGGGCGGGAGGTAACGACGATGGCTCTGGAGGTGTCTTTGCCGACCTTGACATACCAAATGCCGAGCATGCAGGGTTTGCGACGCCGGGACCGGGGATACATATGGGAAGCTCGGTTGCTTCGGAGCCGCTCTCAGACTATTCATCCACCGTGTTTGAGAGTACGGTGCAAGGTGCGTCGCACGGGGCCATCGATGGATTTGGCACGGATGTCATGTCGTTCAGTATGGCAAGCGAAAGAAGCGGTATTGAACAATCTATCGCAGAATTTGAAGACTTGTCACTTGAAAATGCGGTCCAGCCACTCTAGGCTTATGCATTGAGACGAAAGAGGTTTCATGTGAGATATTACAGAGAAACTTTTGGCTAGAATCTAGAGCAAGATCGTCTCACTTAGCAAATGTTTGGTTTTGTGTAGAAAGTCGCGGCCGCGTAGCACGTGATAGAATCCGGGGATTGGGGGCGGCGACGTCACGGACCGATGATCTTATCTCGCAATCAATGCCTCCAGGCACCAGACAGAGACAACAACTGCGACCTCCTCGCCTGTCCTACCAGCCGGTGACGACCTTTTGCGGTAACAACACAACATTGGCAGAATTATAAACATCTCAACATCATGGCCGCCGCCTCATCCTCGAAGCCCTCGAGCTTTCTGCTGTAGTACGTCTTTACCAACCCACAAACCTCAACACCGAAAAAAAAAACAACCCAGCTGCTAGCCAGCCAGCTTCAGTCCCCTTCACAACCCAATCCAACTAAGTTATCAAGTCCATAACTAACCAATCCACCCCCTGGGAATCTAGCTCCTGCATCGCCCACCGCACCACCATCCTAGCCGAACACTCCTCCCCCAACACCTCCTCATCCGCTGCCTCCTCCCTCGCCTCAATCATCCTCCCGAAGATCTCCCACGACCAACCCCAGAAGCTCACCTACACGCACGAGCGCCTATTCGTGCACTACATCGCCGACTCCCCCAGCGGCAGCAGCAACAATGACTCCTCCTCATCCACGGAGCCCAACTCCTACGCCCCACTCAGCTACATCGTGGTCGCAACCGCCGAACAAGGCCGCCGCATCCCCTTCGCCTTCCTCCTCGAGATCAAGCGCAAGTTTCTGGCGACCTACCCTCCGGCCAGCACCGACTTCGCCACGCTCCCCGCCTACGGCTGCGCCGCGTTCAACCCGGACCTCCGCGCGCTGCTGCAGACGTACAACACGGCGCCGCCGTCGGACTCGCTCGCCTCGGCGCGACGAGAGATCGACAGCGTGCGCGACATCATGACGGAGAACATCGAGCGCGTGCTGGAGCGCGGCGAGCGCATCGACCTGCTGGTCGACAAGACGGATCGGCTTGGCGGCAGCGCGCATGATTTCCGGGTGCGGAGCCGCGGGCTGCGCCGCCGGATGTGGTGGAAGAATGTCAAGTTGGTTGTGTTGCTGGTGGTGGTCGTCGTGTTCCTGGTGTATCTGTTTGTGGGGATGGGGTGTGGTTTGCCGGCTTGGGGCAAGTGCGTGGGTTGATTGGCGTGATTGGCAGTGTGTGGAAAATGGGTGATTGGGTCGGCGGGCGGGTTTGTGGTGTTGCATCCTTTTTTGTGAAGTTTGAGATTGAGCCTTTTTTTTTTGTTGCGTGTTGCATGTTGCGCGTGGTTATTTGCATTTGTTTTGACTTGCGGTTCTCTTGCGTTGCTTTTTTATACATGGGCTCATGATTGCTGAAAACGGGTGTCGGCATCGAGTTGAGGTTGGTGGGCTGAACTGTGAGATGGATGGAGGCTCAATTTTCTAATTTTGTATAGTATCATGATAATGTAGTCTGGTTTACTTCTATGTTACTATTTATATCTGTGTATAGATGAGGACTTTGATAAGAATGCGGCGATATATCAAACATTGGCAGATATAGCTCGATACATAAAAACATATTGCCGGATGCGGAAAATAGAACAACAGGCTTAAGGTTGGGTATGTCTCGAACCAGCTCAAGAAGTAGACTGCAGAGCTCATCAGTAGTACATATTAGGAAACCAACCGCAGCCATCAAATTCACGTCTTGTGTAGTATCACAGAACACCGTTGGAAGGTGGATAACCAGTAGAACAAAGATCGAGAGGGACAAGAATCAGGTATCGTGACATGTTTTTCAATTGATTAGCTACCAAAGCTAAGTGCTAGAGTTTACAATATGTGTCTCACTCTCAAACCCACGGCGTCCTTGCTACCGAAGTAACATCAGTGCGGGTCTGCAAGCGAGGCAAACGAACCCCCTGGATAAGATCCAGGTATAAGTTATTTGCTATTCCTTCTTCGCCAGTCGTATACCCCATCAAGCATTGTGAAGGGTTGATGGGGAGATAAACCTGGCGCAGTCTCTGGAAGAGATTTTAGGGGGGTATCATGAGAGAGAAATCAGCTACGTTTGTCGTGGTAGTTTCCATTCAAGTCTTCTGCCTTGACCAGTTGTAATCGCTGTAATCGCGACAGTCGAGTTCCTCGAGCAGGATGCTTCGGTCCATGCCGGTGAGCTTGCGCTTCGTCGAAGGTTGAGCACGAAGATTCAGACCCACTAAGCCATTGGCCTTCGTGGATCGGCGTCCGGAGCTGTCGCATTGCCCACGCAAGTGAAAGGTTGTCAAGTCCGGAGAATTGCATCGTTGATGCGACCAATATCATAGCGCTTGCTTGTCTGCAAATTGTCCCAATCATTTAAGACGCTCGAGCAGATATCCGCCAACTCAGGAGCATGGTCATATTGCACATTCCCAGGAGTGTTGACAGTGTTCGGATGTTGTGAGTTGAACAGAAGTCAAGGGTCGACTTCCGCGGACCTTTTCAATGATTAGTGTGCGTCACATGATCTAGCCACGCTTAGCCTTACTGGAAGCGCTCTCATTCGTCGGGTTATAGCTAGTCCCAGCAAGTACGAATCAGCTCTTACCGCCTGCCTATCTGATGAGCGTTCCGGGTCGATGATCCTCCGGTCATTGTTCTATAGCATTTCGCGATGCGCTATCCGTAGTCGCGTCAAGCTTCGGTTCTCGTTTCCATAGCGTGTTACTTTTTCTTGTTATGCAGTACTGATGTGTTACCAACAATCCCTCAATTCTCTCTCCCTTGCATACATCTATGCCATTCAATCTCATGTCATGATCCAGACGGGAATCTGTTCGCGCCTGAAACCCTGATAACGCGGCCTGGCACCAACACCGGCAAAGAAGAATGTCAAACAACGATGACATTCAGTGGCTGGAGAGTTACCTGCGCTACGGCTACGACCCCGAGGTGCAGAGGTTTGAGGACAATAATATGGCATACTTTCAAGCAAATCCGTACTTTGCCTTGCCCCCGCCGTCTCAAATGTCCCACCCGTCGCCCGGAACGAGTCACGCTCGATTTCAACCACCTTACCCTCAAGGTCGTCCATCAGCGGAAAGAACCAATGTGGGGCCTACCGGTGTTACCTCTTCCTCAGCGCCCGCTTCTTTTCCAGCACAATCTCGCCCGCCGCAAGCTCCACCTCGTTATGCGCCTCCATCGACCGGCGCGCCACCTGCCGTGTCCCAGACGCAAGGCTCGCAGGTTCATTTTGCTCCTGTCAGGGGATCCGAGTCGTATCAGAATATAGCGCAGCAAGCTATCTATCACTCGCAGCGGGCACCGTCTCCACAGCCTCAACAGCCAACGCAACCCTATCCACCTACTACAACAGCAGCACCTGCAGCACCTGCTCCGCCGCCTACGAAGACAGCTTCGCCTCAGCCTCGGAACACAAGGTCTCCTCAATTGCTTATCCCCAAACAAACCCAGCTTCCCAACAGCGCGCCCCCTCGCGCACCTCAGTCAGGCCCCTCAACTGGCCCTCAAAGAGCCTGGACAACAATGCCTGATGGAAACAGAACGGCCTCAGCAGCTGCGCCTGGGCGCGCGCCTCCGCCGACCTCGAAGACAGTCCCTCCTGAGGCGCAAAGAACTGTTCACCATCCAACGCCTCAGCCGATGTCGTCACCCTCGGCTTACTCCGCGCCTCCGCAACATCCACCAGTAACCCAGGCTACAGGCGGATTCAACCATGCTCCTACTGCTGGGTTTTTCACAGTTCCCTCACAAGGCATACCGCAGAACCCACCAGTAAATCAAAATGCAGGCGGGTCCAATCAGAACTCCTCTGCCGCGCCTTACAGGGTATTACCGCAGACTCTGGTACAGAATTTAGCAACAATTCAGCATACGGGCGGACCTTACCAAAGTTCAGCCGCTGGGCCTCATCAGAAGCCATCGGACAGCATGTCCCAGATGCCACAACCCGGAGGTCAGCCGGCTCCTGCTCCCGCGCCCGGCCCAGCGCCTTCGCAACTGAATCCTCAGAAGCAGAAGCTCAATGCGTCTACGGGTCCGGAGCCTGGAAAACCTGCTAAGAAACGTCGCGTCGGACCTCCAAAGACATCACAGCAACCGGCGTCGTTTGCGTTCACGAATGCTGCGCATCCCTCAATTCCGCTAGGTGGGCTGTCAGCCTTCAGTTACTCTCCCGCAACCACGCCGGGGCTCAAGGCGAAGGATTATCTGAAACACCGCGCCGACATTGTGAAGCCTATAGATGAAGCGGATGCTGCTCGGAAGCTGACTTATGACCCTAAGACCATTGCCAGAGATGTCCTGATTGCATCCGGTCGTCATCCAACTGAAGAAGCTCTGAACCACCACCTCTTCCGTCTACGTGATGTGTTCACGCATGTGGAAAACGGGTCAGATCTGGCGACATTTCGATGGGATTTAGTAGATTTACAAGAAGCACGTGACCAAGGACGGACGGGCGCTTCCCTTCCGCCGTCCAACCAACTTTCCGCGCCGCGTCCCGCGCTGCGACCGCCGCAGCCGATTCCTGCTCCGCCTCATCTGAACTTCCCATCAGCCCCAGTCCCGCCATCATCTGTACAACCTCAGCAGGTATTGCCTCCGAGCCCGGAACCGCGAGTGCAGCTATCTCAACCTCCACCTAGCGCCCAAATCTCTTTTCAGTCTCCTAGCTCGCAGGTCCAGCATCCTCCCAGAACCGGTGGTCCTTCTCACTTGTACCCGCCGTACACCCCACTACCACCATCGCCGCAGCCGCCGCCGCCGCCGCCGCCGCCGCAGCCGCAGTCACGTTCCCCACCCAAAACACCAGCGAGCGCGATGGTGGGCAAGCGGGGACCCGGTCGTCCGCCTGGGAGCGGCAATAAGCCCAAGCAGCAGCCGGTACCGACGACGAGCTCACAACCGGTGAAGTACCAGGTTTTCGGCTGTCAGTGGACGACTTGTCGTGCCGAGCTTCATAACCTGGAGGGGCTTAAGAAACACATTTTCAAGGTTCATGTCTCTCAGCAGCTGACTTGCGGCTGGAAGGGATGCACACACCCGGAGCCCATGCCTGCGGCGCTGCTCTTTAAGCACGTGAAGAAGGACCATTTGGACTCTATCGCTTGGAGGCTGGGCGATGGACCATCTGTGCCAATACCTGGTGAGAAATCATCTGGATGATCGCATTTCCACTTTACGCGTGACTTGTAGCATTTTGAAGGGCAATCATTAATTATTTGACTTCTGCTCGCACTATCATAGGTGAAAATACCAGCGAAACAGGACTGTCTACGATTCCTCAGAACGGTCGACCTGGCATGGATGACATGCTCATCTTCCCGGCGAGTGGTTCGTCGATCCGCGCCTACCATAAAGTTCACGGCAGAGCTACCCAGCAGCAAAAAGCGCAGGAAATCCTCAAGGCTGTGCAGCGACTGAAAGAACAGATCGGGGTGGGTTTGGACCCGGGCGGGTGCGGATTGACTAACTTTATGCGGAATGAGCGACAGAGCACTGAGGAGGATGTTTATGAAGTGGTTGTCTAAACCTATGGTATCTCCATATTACGGAAACCGGCATTCTGCATTGGGTGGTGTGATCTTTTCTCTTTCTCGGCTTTTCTTGAATCAATCATCCGAGAGCGTCGTTCTCGAAGCGTAGGTGTTACGGTTGCTTTTGTGGAGGGTGTCCTTTGACTCTACCCAGCTCTGGTATGTCCTCAGCCCGTTACTTACCCAGGATACCACAAATTTGTACATTAACATAGTGGAAAAGCTGGGAACATCTGAAAGGTGATATACGTCCATACAATACACACATACGAAGACACATCCGAAGTGGTTCATACAAAATAAACGATGCATTGGATGGGAGCCCAAAAGACCACCGCCCGGGTATTTTAAACAAACAAGCCCATCGCCTTTGGTCTCTTCCACCCCGTAGTCATTCGCTTAAACTAGACTCAAGACACAGAACACAAGAGTAAACGCGACAGAAAAGAATAACAAAAGAAGTAAACAGAACGTTCAGGTTGTGGGTATACATCCGCCCTAGCCAGTCTTGCCTTTCCCCCCAGTGACACCTTACGACGACGATCCCACGGCCGCTGCCGCCGCCGCCGTCTCCTGCGAGATCCCGGGCACCTTTTGATCAGCGGGAGCGTCGAGTTCGGTGCCGTCGTCCTTAGCGTTGACTTCGAGGAAGTGGTAGAGGACAATCATCATCATGGCGCAGCTGCCGAGGAAGACGGCCAGGCGGTGGAGCTCGTCGTCGGTGATCATTGCGATGACTGTGTTTCTTTGCGGGAGAGGTTTGTAGATATCAAGGTCTGAGGTTCAATCGAGGTTGTCTTGAGGTTGTTTTGTGGTGATGCACAGCAGGAAGAGTGTACGGCGCTGTAGGAGGGAGGGAAGTAGATAGCGGAGATGGTAAGTTAACTGTCCGGAGAACGGGGAAAGCCACGTTAGCCTTAATCATGGGATGCAGGGCAGTGGGTAGGAAGGAAGGTTGAATTGAGGCGACATGTTGGCTGCTGGGTTGAGTCAATGCAAGGAACATACCTAATCTCCGAAGATAGATTCGTTGTTTCAATGGGGAGCAACAGACTGTTGGCGGTTCGGAGGAGGACACTTTGCGCTCTCTCGGGGAAAGTCGTCGTAATTCGTTAACTTAACGCCTTCCTTTCTTTAGTTATCAGTCAGCACTTTTGTGCTGCCTCATCGCTCAGGCAGCAGTAGCTTTGACTTGACTCGATTCCACTTCCCGATCAGGGGTGGAAGCTCCTACTGGCCTGGGTCTAGCTTATGCCTAAGAATACAGGCAGCGGCCGCAACGGCCCGGCCGTTATTAATTATTCTTTAGCATTTGCGATCGTATCATCTCACTCAGCTTCTTCCCCTCCTACTGTGTGTCTCTTTTGTTGGATGGGCCACAGCTAAGAGTCAAATTCTATCTGGAGACTACTTTCTGCAGCTGTCCTCAATCTTCAAATCTGCTGTATGTATGCGAATGATCCCTCTTTTCCGATTGTCCTCTTCCCCTCTGTCCCCTCTTCCCCCTCCCGTGTCTGTCCCTCATAATCTCCTTCTCCCCCCCCCCCCCAAAGAATTCTAGACAGCGGCTCTCCCCGCTCTATCCAGATCTCGGCTTTGCCTCAACGCTCTAGCTTTGCGCTCCTCAAGACAGCTCCTACCCATTATCTATGCACCCTGATGTGTTTATTGATTCTTGGGTAGCTTAGAGGGGACAGCTGGATCGCAACACATTGATGTCCCCATGTTAATCAATCTATGACAGTCTGCCACCATGGACCAGGGAATCAACCCATTTGTGACGGCCAAACCTCCCAACCCGCCCAAGAACGCCGGGCCTTCACTCCTCGCCTGCTTGCTATGCCGACACAAGCATCTCAAATGTGATGGCAACACACCCGTCTGTGGCCGCTGTGCAGCCACGGGCGCCGAGTGCCAGTACACCCCGTCGCGGCGCGGCTACAAAGGCCCGTCAAAGAAACGCCGAGCCAACCCGTCCTCCCCCGATCAACTCCCTTCCGACCTATCGGCTTCCTTTGAAGCCCAGCCGTTCTACAATGTCCCCTCTGAATGGGTTCTTCCCGGGAACATGCCTCTCATGCCAGTGACGACGCCGCTACCCAGCACCAGCACGCTGCCGCCTTCCCTTCCGACGACCAGCCCTGAACTGACGGCCGATGGCTCGGTCTCGTCGCAGCCCCTTCGCGCGGCTCACAGCCCCCTCACGCCGGACTCGTATTCTTCCAATCCTGGCGACAATTACCTCATTGATATTTACTACACCTACTTCCACCCCTCCCACCCCATCCTGCTCCCATTCCGGATCTTGTATCGGTCTCATGTCCCGCCTTTCCTGGAACATGTGATCAAGTTCATTGGCACTCATTTCACCCCCGCAGCGTCCAGTGACACGTACAGGCCGACGGTCATGTCGTCTGTCATGGAACAAGATCCTTCAGTGGAAAAGGTCCAGGCCCTGTTGCTTCTGGCCATTGTTCTTCATTCGCGGAACGAGCGAGCTGATGCCGGAGTATGCATCGCAATGGCCGTGGACCTGGCTTTTGAGCTGGGGCTGCACAGCCGACACTTCGCCCAGACCATGGGAGAGGGGGATCCCGTGCGGGAGGAGAGTCTGAGACGAACCTGGTGGGAGTTGTTCATCATAGAAGCCATGCTGACTGCCCTCGGTGTTCAGCCGCAATACCGTTGCAATACCGTGCCTTTGGAGGTGCCACTACCGTGCGAGGAGAGGATTTATCAGGACGGACTGGCTCCCCCGCCCCCATTGACGATCGCACAATTCGATGAGCGGGCGTTCGCTGATGAAGAACGGGATTTCTCCTCCTATACCTACCGCATCGAGGCGGCTCGGATCTTAGGGCGGGTGGTGGACATTCAGGATATGGTCGAAGGCCAGCAGGATCAGGTTGAAGCTACCGACGCCCGGATTACTAGCTGGTTCCATCATTTGCCCGAGTCGAAGGCTGAGCTTCTGCGTCCTGATGGCTCAGTGGATGAGATGATGTTCCAGGCAACTATGGTCGTCAACGGGTCGTCTATCTATCTGCACTTCCCGCGCTCGGATCTGCTATCATCTCCCGCTGTGGCCGCGGAGGTGATCTGCGGTCATCATGGGCCGCTAAGTATTCCGGCCTTCTCGCACCATGCCCATGCCATGAAAGCCGTTAAAGCCGCCAGCGAAATCTCGACGTTGGCATCCATTAGGATGCCTGTCGTCAAGCACACCCCGTTCTTCATCTGCACCTTGGTTTTGAGCTCCATGGTGCAGCTTGCCGCCTGCTCGGTGAAAGCCGGCCAGATGCCTGACCCCAGTCGGGACCGGCTCACACTGACCATCGGCGTCTTCAAGACGCTGGCCCGCACGTGGGCCATCTCCCAGAGCATTATGCGGCAAATCAAGGCGGTTGCGCGCGACGTGATGGACCTCGGGCTCCGACCCAATATGGACCAGATCGATCTCAACAGTGTTTTGGATAATGGCCGCTTTTGGATGCCCGACATGCTGCCTCGCTGAAGAATCCGAGTCCAGCGCATTACCTGTGTGGTGTCCTCGACTGTGGGAGACATGATGCCTGTTGTTTTCTCATAAAAGAATATATCAGCACCAGCCCTTCCAGCGCCTGCTTCCTAAAACTCCCTGTTGATATTCTTGACCATTGCAACGATGATACCCCTTTCCCTGACTGCCCCAGAATGTATGAAACTGGGCCCGACCTACTGAAGACTGATGATTTGTTATGGTGTATTTAAGTGCCAGGATATGCCGAGATGATGGATGATGACGATGTGATTGTGTTGTGTTACCTCGATCCCGAGATTTTCTTGCGAGTTTCCCTACATCCGGGGCTGATGTATTGACTTTGGACGCTTCGGATTTAAGCCTGCCAAGCAGCAGCAGAGCTACACATATTTCCCTTTTGGATTGCTGAGTTGTGAATTCCGTTTTCTGGTCCTACGGGACCTGCCTAAAATGCATGTCTCCTACATATTCCTTCCTGGGTACTGGGAATTGTCTATCTATTATTACCATGTTCGTCACCAAATAGCATCTGAAGAGGAACGCTAATAACTAACGTTAACTTCTGGTAGATTAGTAAACCGCAAGTCCGGGGAATCTTCCGTCGCACTAGGTTTTTTTTAGCCTCCTGTCGATCTCCACTGCGGGTGCGTATCCACTATCCACAAAATGCCATTCCATGATTTCAGGTAGTCTTCACCAACATCTACACTTGGAGCTACGCTCAATCGTTTCTCATGTTCTCCTCAGTGTAATTACACAACAAATTGATTGTGCTACGTGACATCTCGATAGTTACCCAAACCAACCACACTTATTTGCAGCATTCCATCCCCAAAATGGGGAACTCATGTGAGGGAACTCCACGACGCCTTCTCCGGGGGCAACTACTTGGACTGGTTCGTGGTGGTCGATGTACTCCACCAGACTCTCGTCGACGCAAAACACCTCACAAAACTGATCAGACACCTACGCATCCGCATGCGCCTCGAGAATCAACCCACGTACCGCCTCCCACAACTTCGGCCGTTCATCCGCTCGGCCTACGCCGCCGACAAAGCCAACTTCATGCTCTACCTCTTCCGGTACATGTTGAAACTCAAAGGCGACCTCCAGAAGTGCTGCCGCAAGCGCCGCCTGGTCCTGCCCGCCAACGCCGCCGCGGGTCAGCTCGGGATCTTCACCAAGCCGCCCGCGAACGTGATCAGCAAACATTTTGTGGAGATCAACGTGCGGCGCGCCGGGAAGCCGGAAACCCGCCACCAGTCCAATTGGCGGTACTATTATACGGACGATGGGGACGGGAGGAGAGTGGTCTGCCGGCTGCCGCAGGGCATGTACGGTGCGCTCTTGGATGAAATCCGAGACAAGAGGGTCCACTACCGTCGGGACAGGGATGTGCTTCAGCCGCTGTGGCCGGAGGCGGAGAGTATGAACGTGGCGGTTCGGGGGTTAAGAAGGAAGATTGGCGCGGTGGTGGAGGGGGAGGAGGCGTGGTTGCGCGCCTTATTTGCGTTGATGCATTCGGATACGGGCCCGGTATGTTTGTTGTTGCTGGTGAGTTGGCCGCTGTTTCGAGCTGGTGGGCTCGAGGTTCGGCTCTGTGGCTGGTAGCTGACGTTGCTCCAGCTAGGGGGAAAACCTGGTGGTATTGATGGTGTTATCTACCCTGGACACGGGAGACCCGGCTCTGAACTGCAGTGCATGCATGGGATTTCTCTTGGAGATGAAGCATCTCGTGACCAGGAGTCTTCGCCTGTAAGTCCAACAACACCTCCTACACATGATCTACATCCTGAAGATGATCTACACCATGAACCGGAAATCCCACCAGCGATCCTACACACTCGCCAACCGCACCCCCCCACTAACAACACAACTCGTCCCCGTATATTCGTCCCGCCTTGGGTGATATATCGGATTCGACCACCACCGCAACCACAACCGACAATAACTCCTGCCTTGAGCGACCGTGACCGCGACCAGCCGCCCGCCAGAGCATCCACCCTTCCATTCCTCCTAAACACGCCCCCGCAGCCGGACTGCGCAGAGACGGATCGGAGATCAAGAAGGCATAATACTATCTCTTCTCTTCTAAACTGAATTCGTAGTAAGTCTTGAGATACCCTGTCTAGCGTTTCTCTTGCTCTGCTGTGTACGTACGCAAAGCGTCAGCATTGCGGGCTTGATGCATTTATGAAGTATTCCTAAATAGGCCAGCAGTCACGCCTTGTTTCCGGAGGAATAACGGTATTGATGACTTGAATTCTCCGTTCAAAGTCCAACCTGTAAGCCCATACATATTGGAAGGATGTACCGTATCCTCTCGATATCAGCTACACTTATGGCATTAAGACGTTACGGTGTGAGTATATATGGGTCATGATTCATTAAATCCCCCGTGTTGGGTAGGAAAGCAGAGAGAACAGTGCGAGCAATATCTACCGGCAGAAGCTGTCTTCCCTTAGTCATTTGCCATCGTGGTTAGCCCTCATCATCACTGTGCTCTTGCCGATGGCAAAAGCAATTTCTCACACTAAACTATCACCAGTTTGGCGTGGTCTGCAATTTGTCATGGCTGCCCCGAAGGAAATAAATACTGCAGTTGTCTACATTGCCTTGACTGCTACCCAATCATCATTCTTCTCCTGAAACGTGAGACGTGTGTGCAGTCCTGGCCTACGCTGGCTGTGCGTGCTTTGTGAGGCCTCCCTTGCATCGCTGCAGATCCATCTCGTGTCAATCTCGAAAGTATGCCAACAGTTTGATGCCGACGCCAACAAAGGGTTAAGCACCAATGCAGCAGAGACTGTCTCCAGCAGGACGGCAAGAATCGCCATCACCCACCACAGTAAGAACTACTTTAAGGTCTTCTGGTACGTTTTTGGTGGCTTCTACTCAGTACTATAGATTAGTATAATTATTTTCTTTCTCTGCTGGCGGCTGTTGAGCAACCCCCTGTCAATAACTAATCTTACTATAACTATTCTAATTATTATTATTATTACTTTACAAGCCTCCTTCTCTGCGTTCTAGGATTAGTCTACCTTTTAGATTATAAAATCTATCCTGGGTCTTCTCCCCTCCGATGTAACAATTATATAGAACAGGAATCTTGTTTAAGTACCGGCCGCAAACTTGGTTGCGGGAGATCTAGTTTATATCTTTAATAACAACAAAGTTCCCACCAACATGCGTATCATTTATAGCTTTGGTGATATATAATTTAACTAATTTATTCTACAGGCGAGTCTGATAAGGTTAAGGGAGCAATAAATACCACAGACCAGAATTTTTATAAAATATATAATATTATTTTTATAGGCACCTGTTACGGGACGGATAGATTGTGCTAATCGAAACGTGCCTTAGAACAAGAAGAAATAGCTGAAGAGCTATTTCGTCTGTTCGTACGAAATTCCTTTATGTGTGTGCTAAGCTAGTGCTAGTTTAGTACTTAGTGTGCGAGGCCTCAGGTGCCAACTGGTGCCTGAAGCCGAGCTCTATAACAGGGCCTTGGTCCCATAACAGCACCAGTATTACTAATAGCATTGCTATTAACAGTAACTATAGTTCTGACTGGCAGCTGATTAGTAATAAGCTGTCTAGCCTTGATTACTGCTAATATAAAAAGAAATGTCAACGAACTGAGAGGCTTCAGAGGAGAGGTTCTGGGACGTGTTTGATATGATTCTTGATGGTTGGTTGTTGTTGAACTAGCTACGTTCCGCACGTAAACAAGATGAAAAGGCCTTTGGAATCACGTGGCCGGATTACTTAGCAGCGCTGACAAAAAACCTATACTTATCTAGAAAGAGATTGCCTACTTTATATATATTGTTGTGGTGTTGCTTTTACCCTAATAATTATAGCCAAATATATAAAGGTAAACAACATCCTATCCAAAGGATTAGCAATAGTTGAGACTCTGGGCTGTGTTGATATTATCTGCTCCGATAAGATGGGCCCTTTTACCCAGCGTCTCTGGGGTTGGTTGACCAAAAGTTCAATCTGGAGTTCTCAAGGAGCGGCCAGGAAAAGTCTATTTCAATCCCAACAACCTTGGAACCCCTAGTGCAAGAATCCACCCTATATAACAATACCTCTTTTAATTAAAAGACCAAAAACTTGCCCATTAACAAATAATTAACAAATAGATGGTTAATAAAAATACTACTAACACCCCTGTGCTCCGCTGCGTTGAATTACTGCGGCCGAGCAGCAATACCGGCCTGTACAAGTATAAATACATCCACCAGATCCTGTCTAGTTCAAAAAACATAAATGCTTATAGTGTATAAAACTCCCCAGTTCTCCACTCGCTGTCCAGTCTATGTCAAGGGGGCGCCCTATGTTCTCCTGCCGCATTGTATACATATAAAGGTTAGAGCAAGTTTTGTAAATAAAATAAACTTATAAGCTTCAGAATAGGTGTCACAAGACAGACCTGCGACACCTGCTGCACGTACTACACATGAAGGTAGTCCTTTATCTTTCTGTCAGACCTCCCTTACCCTTCTTGTCTCTAGTTATTCCTTCTTGTTCGTACGGCAGATATAGATGAGAAGATCCATCTAATGTCATCCCAGAGCAATAGGTAACTAGATCCTCAACTATATACTAGGTCTACATCATTTCTGATCAAGTTTTTATTAGCTATAGTATAGAACAATACTTGAGTTTAATTGTTGTTAGGATATGTTAAGGTGTTTTTTATTCTTCCTCAGGCACTAACTAATGCCAGAAGCCTGACATAAGTTACTGACTAGACTAGCGCTACGCTGGTTCGGCTCTTTGTATTATTCCGGCCGCTGGTCGCCGCCAGATTCCCCACTGCGGCGACTATTGCCTCCGCCCGTAGCATCTTGCAACACCTCCATGGCTTCAGTTACTAATTCAATTTCAATTGAATTGTTCTCATTTCATGTTGCTCATTGATCTAGGCATCTTTGCCGCTTAGATAGGGCACTGGAATTTTAGTAACAATTCATGCGAAGGTTATCAAACTTCCACCTTATTCCGAGTGCGGAATCCACATATGCTGAAAGAGAACCAAAACGGTGGGGTTAGCATAACCATTAGTCGGAATACTACACAGCATGCTCTCACGGAATCGCACACTTACAGGTTGTGGAACCTGTCGCAATCGCCATGTGAAATGTGATGAAGCAAGCCCCGTCTGCGAGAACTGCCAACAGCAGGGCCTGGCATGTCCCGGCTATAAGCGTCAGCTGGTTTGGGCGAGTCATGATGGAGACCGGATATATCGCCGGCCGCTATTCTCCAGTGAATGATCCTTCTCGGGCTTCTACTGTTCAAATCTGTGTCTGCTAACTAGCGTTGCAGATACTAATCAACTGAAGATGACACAAATGACGGCAGAAAGTCTCGGAAAGCAGTCTGTCAGTGCTACTTTGGCTCAACTGGAAACTGAATTCGAAAGCAGCGTTACCTTGAGAGGCGACTCGTTTAGAGGTCCTTTCGGTGTCCTGGTATTGTCCAATAATGGGTCTGCCGATAATGAGCTAACTGAGCCGCAGTCCGACCAGGCTGAGGGCAACAGGTTGGACTGGAATATCTTTTCTCCCACCATCACATGGGACAATGCTATGTTTGATGGTTTGTACAATATACCCGGGGACTCGCGTGATTCTACTATACCAGATCAATTAATGGACATTATTATTGCAACCGCTGATGCTCAGTCTCTCCTTCAACCCTCAATAAATCCGCATTCTGACGAGCTCGCCAAACGGTCGGCCTCTTCATCTCTGGCACCAATTCTTCCATCCCTCGGGGTCTGCTCAGGGCATACAACCATACCTCCTCAAGCTGCCGATTTGCTGCGGTATTTCAAAGAGAATGTCATTTCGCTCTCATTTCCTCTGAGAAACTGCCGATACTGCCCATGGCAGACAGTCCATCTCCCAGGTGCAATGAGCGCATTTGCAGATCTCAGCATTCACTATACTACGAGCCACACCAGACTCTCGCTGTTTTATTCTCTTCTTGCTGCCAGCTGCCTCCATAAGTATACACGCGGTAGTTCTACCGGTGACCTGGAATCGTCGGCAAAGCTGTTTAAAGATACCGCCACGCAACATCTTGAGTTAGCCCTGCAGGAGCAGGCTATAGAACCCAAGCGCGCTAGTTATAAGGAGATACTAATGGCTGTTTTAAGCATGGTTATGCTATCGGTAAGTGTTCACCAGGCAGCTTCTCCCAACATCATGTGGCTTACATGTGATCAAGATATTCGACGGCGAAAATACTCGGGCCCAAGCGTTTTTAGTTGATGCTGAATATCTCATTCGCACGCGAGGCCTTCCCAGACAATACAAGTCTCCCAAGGTCCGATCCTTGCACCACGTCTATACATTCCTGCGCATCATGGCCGAAAGCACATGCGGATGTGCCTTACTGGACATTTGTCCCGACCGTCCCAGTTCCAGCTTGCTCTCAATTGAGCCATCATCACACTCTCTACGAAGTTTTCGCATGGCTGATGATATTTTAAATGCTGAGATCGACCTAACACAAGCAAAAGGCAACAAGATCGGCCAGGATGACATTCATTTGGAGGTAATGGGGCGGTGGGATGACACGCTCTTCTCGGATATCTACGGGATACCGGAGACCCTCTTAAATCTTCTCTCACAGGTTATTCGCCTGGCCAACGAACAAGAGCTCCTCCACCGCGACGCTTCGACCGTGGATGTGCGCACCACAGCAGAGTTGAAGCGGCGCGCGAGCCTACTCGAGCATTACATTCTCTCGTGGGAGCAGTCTCCCGGATCGAGTTCAAAAAGAAACAATTCAACAGCGTCCAATTCAGGTCAAAATGCTACCTCCAGCCGGAACCTTACAGCAAACCATTTCATGGTTCTAGCCATGCATCAAGCACTTATCTTGTTCTACTACCGTCGCATTACCAATATCAGCGCTTTGATCCTGCAGGATACTGTTCGCAACTGCTTGAATTTCCTTCAACGCTACGACGAAGCCCGCATTGAGAATAGCAAGGCTGCTCCTCCCTATACTCCTGACACAGCAACCCTCTGGCCTGGCTTCGTTGCAGCCTGTGAAGCAATAGACCCCGACTTGCAGAGTAGTCTGCTAGATTGGCTTGTTTTGACAGGCCAACGGATCTCCTTGGGCTCGTTCTCTGCAGCTGCAGGGACTGCGCAGTGCGTTTGGAAGACACGGTCCGAGACCAAGGACTACACGTTGAGCTGGTTTGATGTTATGAAGCATGAAAGATGCCCGATTATCGCGACGTGATAATTTGATTTCATCCTGGACGGATTATCTGAAATATAGTACAATGGATGTATATCTAGATCTTAGATTGAGACCTAAGCCGCGAAGATTCCTCCAAAACAGCTCTAGGGATCTCTTCTACAATGCTGGGGCCAGTCGGCTTCCAGCCTAGCAGCTCTCGTGCACGGGATGCCTTATACTGAGCGTTCGACCCCCAGAGCACAGCTCCATGTGCAGTCAATTTTTCTGCAGCATCCGCATCGATTTCCTGAACATCTGTGCTCTTGATGAAGCCCTCATTGAATGCAAACGCGGCTATTCTCCTCGAAATATCTCCAAACGGCTGCAATATGATGTCAGCAAAGGCGAGTAAGAGGATGCGAACTAGGACACGAACCATCTTTCCATTCTCCGCGAAATAGACGCCATTTTCATTCCAAAGCCAAGGATCACCGCCTTGAGGATCCTCCGCCTTCTGAACCAATCTCACAATCAAGTCCGACAAATCCGAGATGTGGATATTACTCCAACAGCTTAGACCCCTCCCGACCTGGAATCCATGGCCCAGCTGAAGGGTTGCCTTCGCCAAATCTGGTAGCTGAATGCTGCGCTGATTGATTGGACCGCGACCCAGGCCATAGATCAATGGTCCGTAAACAATCGCTATTCGGACATTCGGCTGTTTGGAGGAAAGATTTAGGAGGAGCTGGTCGACGGCGCGTTTGGGTGACGAAGAGATGATGTTTCGGATCTCACTGATTCCCTGCAGGTCGTTGTGGTCTTGAGCGCGCGCTTGGCCATAGGAACCTCTGGCGATTTCCGGCCCGGAAAGAAGGCTTGCGCCCGAGATTTGAATCCAAACTGCGAGTGGAGATGTTAGCGGGGACGCTCATGTAGTACTTTTGACGGGATGTACAGTGGACAAATAAGTACCTGGACTTTGACGCTTAGTTTCGGTCAAGCCCCGTGCAATGGCAGTAGCACTGGGGAGATGGTTCGAGCTCGCAAGGTCTTTCAGGCATTAAGTTAGCGATTGAGTAGATGACGTAATCCGATGAACTTCAAAAGGAGAACAGATGACTAGATCCTCCGTTCTATACGTACGAAGCACAACATCCGCCTTCGAGACCTCGCTCGCAATTTGCGTCGCAGACTCAAGGTCTCCAATGACCGGAGTTACCATTGGAAACTTGCTAGCGAGTAGGGCTGCCTTCTTCTCGCTGCGCACGAGGGCCGTGACCTCGCACGAACTGCAGGCCTGAGTGAGGGCGTACAGGACGTCGCCGCCAATGTAGCCTGTTGCTCCTGTTCTTGAAGGGGTCAGTGACAGGCCACCAACGACTGGTTTGGGGGTGGTTTGGATTTACATGAAGATGCGAGACATTTTGGTGTAGGTAAGTAAAGTGCTAGTGAAGGACAACTGGAAGGAGTAGTAGCATGACAAGGTACTAAGTAGTATACTTTATCTGCACGAACACTCGTGCCGCATCGGGAAATCCTGCCTGATGGGTGCGAGATCCACATGTGGCTTGATCAGAATAGCAGCCTCTCGCGAAAAGTGGAATGTGGGTCAGGCCCGATAATAGGAATCACGTACGAATCGGGCTGGCCTCAAAAGAAGTGGAACCATTTATTGGGAACCGCGTCTCAATGAAAAAGACCCTTTTGAGGTATTTTTATTAGGTAAGGCCATCATGATTCCTTTAGGGCGATAAGTATCCGCCGTCAAATTGAACCTGTTCATGAAGGATATTCGCATTTATTACGAGTGTTGTGTAAGTCGATCTCCTCGACTGATGCAATATGCGTACTGCTCGATGAAACCTGTGTGATGATAAGACATTCTGGGAACTGATCCAGGAACAGATACGGCAACTTAGAACGACGCGAGGATTATAGAGGCTGCCCGAAGCGGCCACGAAGTATACAGGACATATCCCGTTAGGTATCTTATGACGATAGCGATGACGGTGATGCTTCTATATAAATCCTCGAACAACTGCAAGTAAAACCATCCTCGATCTAATATTCCGCAATTAGGCTGATCGTTTCTATTTCTCTTTTCTTTTCTCGAAATTTGGCCGCAATGTCTACCAACAACCTTCCTCTTCGCCAGCACTACGACGTTGTGATTGTCGGCGGTGCCACCAGTGGCTCCTCCATCGCCTGGCATCTGGCCACAAATCCAAACTTCAAGGGATCAGTGCTCGTTGTTGAACGGGATCCTTCGCTAGAGTACTCTGCCACCAAGGCCAGCAACAACTGCATGCGCCAGCAATTTGCAACCGCCATCAATGTTCAGATTGCGCAATACGCTGCCGAGTTCGTCAAGCGTTTCGGCAAAGAGTTTCCTCCAGATCCCCGCGACGTACCCTTTATCCCTTCCATTCGCAGCTTCGGATACCTCTACTTATCTGATTCGTCCCAGTTCACGGACGTACTGAAGAGAGACCAGGAGCTGCAGACTAGTTTGGGAGCCGGCACCCAGATCATTTCAAGAGCGGAAGTCCAGCAAGTGTACCCCTTTATGTACGTCGACGACCTTGACAGTGCGAGTCTGAATCTTGTCGATGAGGGAGCATTCAATGCCTGGGGTATGGTGCAGTGGCTGCGTCGCACCGCCCAGGATAACGGCGTGGAGTACATCGCGAATGAAGTCGTCGGTGCCGACTTAGAGGACACGGGTACGCGCGTGCGAAGCATCAAACTACGAACTGGAGAGCATATCAGTGTTGGCACCTTGGTCAATGCTGCAGGAACCCGCGCTGCTGCGGTCTCAGAGATGGTGGGCATTCCCAGTCTGCCAATCGAAGCTCGGCGGCGTTATACCTACATCTTCTCGGTCGATGAGAGCCTGACCCAGGATCTTCCCCTAACCATCGATCCATCGGGCGTCCATCTCCGCTCCTACGGCGCCAAAGACTACCTCGTCGGCTGCCCTCCCATCGGCCCCGACACTGCGGTTGATGCAGATGATTTCAGCTTCGCAGAGAACGTATGGGAGGAGAAGATGCTCCCGGTTATTACTCGCAGGGTTCCTCAGTTTAGCACAGCCCGTGTGACGGATGCGTGGATGGGCCATTACGAGTTCAATACGTTCGACCATAATGCCATTGTGGGACCACACAGTCAAGTCCGCAACTTTCTTTTCTGTGTGGGCTTTTCTGGGCATGGTAGTCAGCAGGCACCGGCTTGTGGGCGTGGTGTTGCGGAGTTGATTGTCTACGGACACTTCCGGACTCTGGATCTCAGTGTGCTTTCGTTCAAGCGAATCATCGAAAATCGGCCCCTGACAGAGCGAGCAGTAATTTAGAGCCATCGTGTGAGCTAGCTTAGCCTTATCTCGTACTTACAAGAGCTGATCTGTGTTCATTAGTATTAATGTTAGTATTACTATAAAATACTTTCTAAAATCTTTTTCATCATAGTTGTAGTTGTTATCATGATAATTATATTTCTAGTTCTAGTTCTAACTATAATTTAGATAATTCATTCTATAATTACATGCTTGAAATCGAAAAGACTTTTAACTGATATACTTTTTTATTCTACTATGAATGAATATATTCATTGGCTGTCATGGGAATTCCAGGTGACCTTACAATTGCCACAGCGGAATGCTCCTTACCCACCACATCACTGCCATGATGTCAACGACTCGCCCATAGGTCATCCTCTTAGATATCTTTAGCATTACCAACGTCACAATAGCAGTGTTCATTCCCGAAGTTACAATACCGATATCTCTGCACTGCACCTAGCCGATCCTTTGATACTGATACGGTTTCAGGCGACAGCATTAGGCTACATGTTCATCAGTGCAGAATCCGCCTTCCATGGGGTCTTAGTCAGGCATGAAAAGTGTTTAACAATTATTTTTCTCGATTAGTGAACGCTGGACTCGCTAGAAAGAGAGGCTATTCATGAAGAGCAGCTGAAATCTTCTCTAAGCCGTATTCTAAGTCCTTCAGATCGGGCCATCCGTATCCGATACGGAAGTAAATGTCATCCATTTCAAACCAGCGCCCTGGCGCAACCCAAACTCCATACTTCTCTGCCAGTCTATGGTAGAAGGCAGTCGGCCCACCAGTAGGGATCTGATTCATGCGAAGAAGGCAAACCATGCCGGCCTGTGGCTGGATCCAATCGAGACGTTCTTCTTTTGCGACCCACGATGCCACAAAATCCAAGCGCGCCTTGATGTCAATAGAAGTCGCGGTTAACAGCTTCTGACGCTGGGAGAGAACATTCTCAGCAATCCACTCGTCCATGACACTTCCACAAATGTTAATCTGCTCCTTCGCTGCCAAGAATGTTTCCATCAGCCGCTCGCTGGTATTGATTAACCAGCCGATTCTTGTTCCGGGAATGCCGAAGCACTTGGATACCGATCCCACGCTGATGACATGGTCGCCAAATGTAGCAGCGATTGGTAGAGCCTCCCCGAAGGTGATGTCCTTGTAGATTTCGTCGACAAGTAGATAGCAACCCTTGTTCAACGCGAGCTTTGCCACGCTCTCCAGCTCATCGCGAGTCATCATCTGACCACTGGGGTTATGAGGGTTCGTCAGGCTGATGAGGCGGGTATTAGGCTTGATGGCAGCTTCCAGAGCGGCGAGATTAATCCGGAAGCCGTTGTCGAATGTCAAGTCGAAGTAACCTATCTCGCATTCGATTGCTCGTGGAGTCGCCAAGTTGATAGCGTAGTTGGGTTGAACGATCAAAATGTGATCCTTAGTTGCAAGGAGGGAAGTTGCGACAATGAACAAAGCACCAGCCGTGCCTGTTGTGATGAGAACATTCTCTGGATTCAACGATGGCGCCTCACTGACAACCAACTGCCGAAGACGCTCACTGCCACGGTGACCAGTGTACTGGAGTTTGAGGTCGGGAATGGAAAGATTCAGTTGACTGAGGCTCTTGTCGGCAATTGAGCTTTCGACGAGGTTTGCGCGAATGTTTTGACAGCCACCCCCTTCTTCAGGCGACTCGACTTCAATCGGCATCCGTATGTATCTCATGGTGGTGTCTCTGCGCAAGTGTTGCAAATATGGCAAGTATCACAAGTGACACAAAAGATTAGATCAATGATGAGAATTGGGAGCAACTTACGGAGTACTTATTGCGATCTTAGCGCAATTTGTTGAGCGACGAATTAGATTCATTTTTTGCCAGTTTCTTCATGGTTCTTCCGTTATGGGAAATGGCCGGGGTAAGTTGCTTGTTTGGCTCAGGGATGACTCACAAATCGGTAGCTTACAACCCAAACAGGCGTCGAAGGGTCATTCGAGATTCTTGTGATACCGAATCTCGATCAATATACTTACTTGGCCATAACCGAACATGAGTCGCCCAAGTATTTTCAGCCTATAATGTCTTGGGTTTTTTTTTTACATAAACAAATGAGTTGTTGAAATTCCACACAGTAGGTCTATTAAATCAGTGACTTTCTAGGCAGGTCTCTTCGCACTATCAAATATGCCACCTCGTTCCGTTATTGCCCATACATGTATTGGTTGGTCCCACAATTATAATAGGACTGCTCTCTGTAGACATGTCGTCGGTAAGGCGTAGGTGCGTAAGGCGTAGGGAGCAGTCTAGACCTTACCTCAAAAGGTTGGTTAGGTGGAGCTTCGATGCTCGCACTTCGATCACGGCTCGAGACTTGGGCCCAGTAAAATTAGTGGTTGGTCGGTTCCAATTGCACATTTTAGACTTGGGAACACAGGTACTTGAACTTGGAACACAATCTATGGGCGAGCGGACCACCTCCGTATTACATAAAGCTGCAAATCTTAAGTTATGATTATAATATCTTGTACTGATCACTTTTTACTGAAATCAGATAGGATTGTATGGATTTATTTCAGGATTTACAACATCATGGATTTACATAAAGAATGATCTATACTACGTATTTCTAACCTGTATAGCATTGTCTATTTAGTATAATATGTGTCAGCATTCCTGAGTAATCCGGCCACATAATGCAATGTGGTTACCAGGCTGCTTTGGATGTTAATATCCGAGATAATTCAACAACCAACAAGTACTAAAAGTTTAAGAATTGTTCTATATCAGCCCGCCCTTGAGTCCTTATATCGTTTTTAACATGTAACTCTAAAGTAACTATTAGTAGAATGCTTAGGTCCTCTATAGTCAATTAGATCACAAATCTCTTACTTGAATCCTATTAGTAGTCTTACTTTGCCAGGCATTGTTCTTGTTATATGAAGCTTTAAAACCCAGTAATTTGATATACAATTAATGCTAAGGGAAGATTTCTGGTTGGGTAAGCTATCCTTTATCCAACTCATCTACTGAGCAATAGACCTGAAACTGCTCAACATGGTACACCGAAAGAAGTTCATCCCAGGAACGTTCGCCTACAAGGCTGTGACAGTATGAAAATCCATGAGGATATCCACATGCTCATGACAGTCGTTCTTTTTCGACCAGGGATTATTATTAGCTGCTAATATCAACCTGCTCAGACATATTACAACAATTTCTTGACGGTCTTGTCTCGGTACCCGCTAATTACATACACAATAGGAGGCATCTGTAGTTGACTCGCCCACTTCCCTGGCTATAACAGTACATTCAACACTGTCACGAAACAAAGTGACAGCGTGTAGTCAAGGACCGGAATGCAGTATCAATATCTCAGTTCTCACCGTAGCTTGCTATCATTTCAATCTCGACGTCGGTATTGAGGGGTAGCTGATGTACAGCCACGCAAGTCCGACACTGCAGGTTCGAGTGTCAATTAATTTTTCTCCCTAGGATCAAGCCATGTTGGAATGACTTACAGGTTTGGGGTCAACCGGAAAAAACTCGTCCCAGGCGATATTGAGTCGCTCAAAATCGTTCATGTCGGTTAAAAAGACGTTGGCTTTGACCACACGATCCAAGCTGCTGCCGGCAGCTTCAAGGACCGCTTGCAAATTTCGTAACGCCATACGTGCACGATTGGTAACCGTTCCAGGAACCAGTTCGTCTGTCACAGGATCAGTTCCGACAGTCCCACTGCAATACACAAGGCCATTATATTTGATAGCTTGGGAGAATTGTGGGAGCGGCGCGCAGGCTTCTGAAGTGTAAACGGGTTCACGGTACGACATCTTGTCAAGGAGTGAATAGGGAAATAGGGGTCAATGAGAACCCGGTAAGGCCTTCAAAATAAAAAGGAGAGCTTTGAAAGTGTCGAGCGCAACAAGCAGAGTACTAATATATATAAATGTCATAAATGAACTTAGGACCTGTTTGTGAAACTGCATTTCAACTAGCAGCCTCCCGCCGGTTATCGGACTCGTTTTTCTTGGCTACAATTGGCTACAAATGCAATAATTCTGTCTGTCGACTTTTATCGGTTTACTCCTGATCATAGAGCATTTTACACGATACTTTTGTCCACCGCAGCAAATGAATTTCTTATAGACGTCATGCCATGGTTCGTCCGTTGGACTGGCCGGGATAAGTTGCTTGTTTGGCTCAGGGATGACTCAAAGATAGGGGGGGCGACCCTCAACCAAATCGGGCATCGAAGGCTCATTTGAATTTTGTGATGGCCAAGTTTGATCGCTACGCCAGTCATACCTTATATTACGAGATTAGTGAAATATCTCCATTTCTTACTCATATTTGCAGCGATGCGAGTCTGCGGGGAGAAATGGAGCGGCAGCTTATATTTAAGTTTACTTGAGAAACCTTGCATTATAGTATATTTTATATCACTTTTGTAAAAAGCACAAGTGATACTGAAATTTATAGATATATATAATAACTATATACAAATTGATGTATATAACTTTGACCAGATCAAGATCCAAGTCAACAAAATTACAAGTACTTCAGAAAGGCTTTTTATATACAATATACAGGTGCTGGTTTGCTGCCCGTGCCGGTTCGCTTATCGAACACATTAGTATTTCCTTCTTCGGCTATCCGCCCATGCTGCTGTTCCGAAGATTTCGAATGTGGCAGTAGAATCAATCCTGCATAATCTTCTATTCAGTTTCTTCCCTGACATCTCAGTACCACAAAACTGGATACCAACCTTATCCGGGGGCAGGGAATAGATTAGCACCAATACAGAATGCATGTTCTCTCCGAGCCCGATGTGGCCCAGATATTCCGCAGCTTGACCCAGTCCCAATGCCTCGAATTCGTTGGCGCTCTGAGCGATGCTTTGGTAGCCATATCTGCCGAGTCCAAACCGGACTTTCCTACGTCAATGAAATTGATCCATCAGCCACTGCGCACCGTCTTCACCACAAAAGCAGACAGCTCATGCATCTTCATGCCAGTTTCGGATACCGTCACTACAGGTGTCAAGGTTGTAACCGTGGCTAAACACGGCGTTCAGGGTGTTATCAATATCTTCTCACCCGATGGCCGGCTACAAGGACTCCTAGCGGCCGCGGAGGTAACGGCCTTTCGAACAGCGCTGGCCTCAATGGCGCTGTTTGTGCGCAGCTCTGCAATTCGCAAGGAGAATATTCTCGTCTTCGGGTCGGGACGCCAGGCTGAGTGGCATGTCCGACTTGCCCTGCTGTTGTACCCGGATCTCGTCAAACGAGTTACATTCGTCAACCGCGGCCGTCAACGACTTGAAGAAATGGAGCAATCTGTATTCAAAGATTTGCATCAGAGATATCCCAGCTTGTCCGTGAACACTCTTGCCAAAGATAGCACTCCGGGCTATGAACAGCAACTCCTCGCAGAGCTTCAACTCTGCGACGCAATCTTCAGCTGCACGCCCTCGTTCACTCCCAACTTTTCATATTCTGCCCTTCAATCTGCACCTAAGAAGCGCTTCATATCGCTGATTGGATCGTACAAGCCACCTATGCATGAGATTGATACAGAGACTCTGCTTTCAGGCAGAGGTAAGATCTACGTTGACTCCAAGTCTGCTTGTTTAGAGGAATCGGGTGAGCTTATTACGGCGAAGGTTACTGAAAGCCAGTTGACTGAGATGGGTGATCTTCTGAGAGAATTGGGATCGTCAGGTGCAATTGAGATCCCGGAGGGAGCTAATGTGGTTTACAAGTGTGTCGGAATGGGTTTGATGGACCTGGTGATTGGGAAGAAGGTGCTAGAGGTTGCGAGTGCTGGGGGACTTGGGACACACGTTGATGGATTTTAGAGATTCTACAGGCTGCTCTGTTTCAGGATGCTTGTTTTTGTGTCCAGATTTGTGTAATTCTCATACATAGACAGTAGATAGTATGCAAGAAACCATCTGTTGAGAGTTGGAGTTATTTGGAACACAAAAAAAAAAGCCCCATACTATCAATCCATTTATTATTTAATAATATAACAGTAGACATAGCCTGCTTAAACTGGACAGGCAGCTGAAAAAACTAGAAAACCTATACCTACAATGTTAAATCTAAGATATTGTCACAAGGCGGGCGTGGTAGGAATGGCAGTTTGGGCTGGCCAGTCTGGATAACAGTTCTCTTATTCTTAACTAGCTACTAGGATTATGCTATTCTTAAGTTTGTAGACAAGATGTAGCTTGAGGAGCTATAGTCAAGATTAGAAGCAGAAATTTTTCTAACTAGATTGAAAACTATATATTTAGTAGTTAGAAGGAGAAGATTACGTTAATATTTACCTACACTTTATACATAGTAGAAAGAATTCTAACTGATAGAAAAATAAATTCGATGTATAGTGAGTGTACTTTACTGTACTTACTGTACAAACCTACCCACCCACCAAGCCCACTCCCCTCCCCCCCCGCCGCCCTCGGGGCAACTGCTTAGTACATCCATCCCACCATCACCATCACCGTCCATCAAAAAAGAGGCTAGCAGCGGTGCAACGAGCGAAAACATGTTCCATAAAAATCCAAAAAAAAAAGTAAGTTCTTAAAGCAAGTCCTCGAAGCTAGGGAAAGGAATGGGAATGGGGGTATTCGTATTCTTCAATTCAAGTCAAATCAAGTCAAGTCACCGGGCCATGCATCTGCTGAATTTCATGCAAGTGATAAAGAAAGAGTGGTATAAGTTGTTAGGCTGGAGGGTCTATAATGAGTACAAAGCAAAGCATCGGTCATATCAACTTCGTGAAATCAATAAACTCAAAGTTGTCTTTCCACATGAGACGAACGCAATGTGTAAAACGCAAAAGGACAAGGCCAATCTATGGAGCGATGCAAGTAGAGGCGGAGTTTCGTAAACGAAAGACGTATATCTAATGGTGGTATCGGGCAGTGCAGGAAAGGAGTAGGCAGGTTGAGACGAAAACGCACAATGTAGTGCTGAGCACCAAAAACAGCATGGCAAAGTGCTCTGGTTTTTTTCGTGGCTGGCTTGGAGCACGTGATGCAATTCGAACTAAGATGGAGTGTTACAGAAGGTAAGGTGTCGGATGGAAGAATGGCTATGCTTCTTGAGGACCAGTACCACCGTCTTCGGCAACAGAAGATGGCCGACCCGCAGAGAATTCCTGCATCTCACGGAGGGCATCGGCTCGCCGGGCCACCACTTCCTCGCGACGGACGACGTTGCGCAGCGCGTCGCTGGCTTGGATGAGGCCGTCGATGCTGATGGCGTGGTTGGTCATCTGGTGGTTGATGTACGTGTAGAGCTCGGCGGGCGTGGAACAGGTCGTGAGCAGTTGCTGTTCGTTCAGTTTCAGCAACGCGAGAGCGACTTGAAACAAAAACGTGCTGCCGCCGCCACTGCCGCTGCTCGATGAGACATTGTTCGTGGCGGTCGAGTTGGTGTCATTGCTGTCGCGGGATGATGATGCATTCGTGGGGGTGAATGAGCTGGTCACGTTGAGGCATAGGACAACATCCCACACTCGGTAGAGTGCCTCTGCAGAGAGACAGTCGGTGAAGACGGACAGAAACCACTGAAATGTCAAAGCCTCCAGCTCGACATTCAGGCTTTCGAGGTGCGCAGATAGCTTGGGCAGGACTTCCGAGATGTAACGCCGGAGAACTACTTGATCCGCGCGAGACGCTAGCAGGCCATGGTCGTAATAATGCTCCGGCAGGATGACCTCAATCATGGACGCAAGAAGCCAGAAGGTGTCCTCGGCCGTAGGTGTGACAAGCAGCAGAGAGGCGGCAAGGAGGTTCATTCCTTGACAGTATCCAACCTCTGGGTTGCGGCGAGAATACGCGAGGAGGACCTCCTTGAGCTTCTCCACCCCCGGGCCTTTGCGGAAGAAGACATTGTCCGTCAGGGTGCGGTTGATATCCATCTCGATCTGCGACACGACCGAAGGGTCGGGATCCCTCCCACCAACGCCCCGGACGAGGTCATCATAGTACCCGGGCACCCGCATCGAAGAGGCACCGCTGCATTCAGACCAGATCTTGGCTCGGAGAGCGACGGGAATCCCACCCAGCACGAGGGCCCGGAACTCCCGCCATTTAGCACGACCGACCTTGCCTTTGTTGCCCAGACCAGATATGCCCACCATTTCGCCGTCCGCTAGGGACGCCTCGGGCGTATCGACAGACTGCAAAGGGCGGTCCGAGGCCGCGGCCGCGGCCGCAGCGGCTTCCCCATCCTTGCGGCGTTCGGCACGCACTTTGCGCAGGAACTCGTTCCATCTCACCGTTCTTTCTCGCTGCAGAGAATCGTGAAGCTCGGTCAGCTGCTCTAGCAGTAACTTGACCGGCTCATTCTCATTGGCAGCCAGCGCGGCAGTCTCGTCGGAGGACAGCCCGGCGAACTCTGGGCGATCGGCAATCACCGCTGAGGTAGATGCAGATGGCTGAGCGTTGGGGGTGACTGAGACGGAGCCACGTTTGTCAACAGCTACTGCAGTGCTGCGCGGCTGAGTATCACCCGCAGTAGTCAAAGAGATGATGGGACCAGCGGAGGGGGTGTGCGAAAGCAGTTCAGTCGGCGCCGTCGGAACCACCAGATAGTCCTGCCATCGCCCAACCGCAATAGCACCAGCTTCGGCATTTCTGGGGGATACAGACGCTGGGGATGATTCGCTACCAGTGGTAGCCTGCAATAGATTTCGATAGTCGGAGCCATCATCGCCGTCTGAGGTATCAGTGCGGAGGCTGTCTAGAGTCTCCGCGATGCTAAGCCGATTACCTGCCGGCCCACCCCGTTTCGGATCGCTGGCTTCCCTCTGCCGCCTCTTCCGACTTTGATCGTAGATGAATCCGAACCGGTCCGTCAGTAAATCTCCCGACTGATAATTGTTGTAAATGTTCGCAAGCGTCGGAGGTCGATCCTCCAGCGGCAAAATCGCATCCATCTCCACGGGGCCCAGATTGGTGGCATTTTTACTTGCAGCCTCGGAGCTTGCAACCTGTGAAACGCTTGCCGACCCTTGTCTCCGACCGGCCTGGCTGGCTTTGGCTAAGGCACCCGATCCAGGGGATCGTCTTGTAGCACCTTGGATGTTGACGTTGCTGTTGATCCGCTTCAGCGCCGCCACCGCTGAAATGGCAGGTGACACAGGCTTGTTCGCTTCGCGATTGGCCGACATAGCTCTTCCGCGGGAATTTTCCGCATTCGCATCGTCCTTGCTCGATTGGGTATTTCCGGCAAACAGCTTGACCGTCCATGAGGAAAGCGACTTCGAGGATTTGCGCGAATGAATACTGGCGTCATCGCCGTTGGCGGCTGCGAGGCGCCGTCCAACAACCTCGCCGGCCCCCAAGCCACTTTGCTGTTGGTCGTCGGGGGGTTGAAACAGTTGATCATCGAGAGCTTTGCGACGCCCCGCCGACGGGTTGCTCGCGTTTCGAGGCCGCTGCGTCTCCTCCTCGGCTCCGCTCATGACACTGCTGGCGCGACTTGTTTTCCGACTCCCCAGCGTCCCGCCGAAGATGAAATCACCCCAGCTCCGGATCGAGCTCTGTCTCTTGCGGTTCGAGTTGGAGTCGAGACTCGAGTGGCCCGAGCGCGCGTCACTCTCAAGCGACCGCTGCGGCGCGCGCACCGTCGCCTGCTGCGCCGGATTCACCCCATTATTCTCCGTCCCACCGAGATCCTCCGCTCCGTGCGACAACCCCACCCCATCGTCCATCGCCTGCTGCATCAGCCCATGCACGCTCGACGACGAGCTCCCGGACTGCTCCGCACTCGCCCCTCTGTTCTCCTTGCCCCTCGCCCCCTCGGGGTTCAAGGGGATGCGCTCCAGCAAATACAGCCGCCGCTCGATATCCTGGTTCGAGACGGAGACCTCGCGGAGCATGCGCTTCAGTTCACGCTCCCGCGCGTCCGCCCGCTGGCGGAGCGCCGAGATTTCCGCATCCCGCTGCGCTAGGTCTCGCGCGAACTGCCGCACCAGCTTGACCGCGCCCGTGGTGGCGATCAGCCGTTCGATATGCGCATCGTCCGCCAGGTGGAGGGCGCCGGGGAAGTCCCGGATGGGCACCGAGTCCCCGAAGAGGGCGGCGCGTCCGGACGCGCTGGCGGTGGTCGAGGAGCTCGTCAATTTGGCCAGGGCGGCTCGCCGATCCCGCGTGGTGGTGGTGGTGGTGGCGTTTTTGTTCTCCCCCGCCGTGTGTAAGAAGTCGTTGATGCTATGAACATCCCGGTCCTCCAGCAGTGCGTTTGTGAGGGCGCGATTGAGGGCCGGCTGGCCGAGGAACCCGTCCACGGAGCGGTCTGGCGGAGAAAGGGATGGGAAGGAGGTGAGGTCCGTAGTGGTCGCGTTGGAGGAGGCGGCGGAATGACGCTTCTGAGAGCGGGCTCGGACGGTTCTAGCCTTCTGGCTGTGTCGGGAAGAGGAGGAGGTCCGCGAGGACGAACGACGCGGTACTGGGGCCGGTGGTGTTGGTGCCGTGGGTATATCGCACTCCGCCATGGCTGTTAGGGCGGTGAACACGAAAGAAGGGCTGCAGATCTGTGGTCTTCATGTAGACTTTTTTCTGTTTCGCGTTCTGTATGGTTTCTAATTCAATTGAGACAGATCATGAACAGATTCATCAAATAAATTCAGGCAGGGGACGTGGTGTGGCTGGTTTTAAAGTGGTGTTTGGCGACGGTGGTCAGGTCTCGTGCAACTGTAGCAGCTGTGCAGTGGTGCCGCCTTCGCGGGATTTTTCATTTGCAGGAGAGTGAATGATGTCGTAACTGGAGTAAGTGCTAGAAGATCTGCACAGTGAGCTACAGATCACAGTGTAGACCGCCTCAGATAATGGTAGCGAGAGGTCAAAAAGTGCAGAAGAAAAAAAAACAGGGACGGGGCAACGAGAGGATTCAGGCGCGGGCCACCAGCAGCA